CAAGCAAGACATGATTTCATTCCATTAGGTACATATACTACCCCTCTCTAGCCCCGCCAGAGAGGAGAGTAACCTAACAAAAAAGAAAAGAAAAGCTGAAAAAGGCAGCCATGAGCAATTGGGTTTAGGTTCAATGATTGAGCAAAGCTTCCGCCTTGTTCAGACCACAGTTTGTTTTACCCTGTAGCTGTTTTTAGATTAACAGATTCTTTACATGCAAAGACACGTACGTTTCACCAAAAAAGAAACTTAGTAAAAGAAGTAGGTGACACAGCTCCCACGGGGCCTTAATGCTCACATGGTAAAACCTAGTGGGTAGGACCATTCACGAACCTATTCAGATGTCCTTTTTCATAAGTTTTAAGTATATAGTGAGATTGGTGATACCCTACTCTACTCATTAACGATCATCTCTCTTTCGTTTTTTTTATACTAGCACTAGCACTAGCACTAGCACTCTTGCTGTTTGTTTCTGACCTCTGAAATAATTGCAAAATCTATATACACCATCCATTCACCTTTCAGGCATATGGACATAGCCAGCTAGGCTTCAATGACAGTGTTAATTTCATAGTCCATCAAAATGAAATCCAGTCAGTTTTTCACTTTTGTATGAAGGCATATATAGATAATTTCCTGTCTTTGATGCATTAATTAGAATAGATAGGAAGGATTAATTTATTGTCAACTGGTCATGAGATTGGGGTAAAACCATGCAAGTACACAACCTTAAATTTTGTTGTATGATTGTATCTTAATTCTTATGCAAGGCCCCGCGTATCCTAAGTAAAAGGCAAAATCCCTAAAAGAAGTGAAAAGTAATGTGAACAAAATTTCTGATCACAACTATACAGTTAGCCTGCAGAAAGAACATCGAGGTAAAAAGGGAAGAAGCAGAAAAGATTGAGAAATATCCATCCAGCTACAACGATATCCAAGCCCAAATTACATTCTTTTCTTAGGCACCCAAGTTCTCCTTTCCTTTAAGCTTTTTGGGACAATTACGTCTTGCTTTATCCAAACTCTCTGCACTGCAATCATCACATTTTTTGCATGGCTCCATGCTTAGATGTTTTCTGAATAGGAAGGGGACCAGTGTCGCTGTAGTTCCCTAACTATTGCACTAGATGAAGGCAAGATCAACAGGAAGGCTAACAGTTCCTTGAGCCCTTGATACTACTTCATAATTGGAATAAAAACCATTTAAAAATTAAGTTTGCTTAAATGAAGTGTTTTGATCAATATGTGAAAAAGTCGACTAGGATTGTGCATTCAAAGATTCCACCCCATTCCTTTTGATTAAGTTCCCTGACTAGTGACTACCAACTAAAGCCTAATACAAGTACCCAGAAAAAAAAAAAAGAAAAAAAGAGAGAAAGGGTATAGTGTTGTTGGTGGTGAAGATACCCAGGCTCTTAGAAAGTGAAATGTGATAGGCAAATGAAAGAAAGAAAGAAGAGTTGGATTGAAAACAACAAGAAGGATATGAAAGGATTCCCCTCGTGATGACAAAAGCACTGATGGAGACTTCAAAGATGGAAATGTGGCTGATATTATTAATCCCTTTTCCTTCTAAGAATTATCACTCATTGAATTGAACAAGAAAGAGGAGAGAATGATGGGTTGCTGGGTATGAAAAGGGTTATTGTATTAAAGAAGCTAAGTAGGAATTTTGGAAAAAGCATCGAAAAGAGAAGGGCAAGTTTCGATTTGTCTTTGTCCATGAAAGGGCACATTTATTCACTGTTCTTTTCCCAAGCAAGTACGTCTACAAGTTACCTAGCAAGGAAACACTGTTCTTTCTCCTCATCACAATTATTAATTTCCTCATTATCAACCCCAAAAACACAAAAAGGTATTAGTAGATCAGTGGGGTTGACAAAGTGGAAAAACTGAGCAAATAACATTTTTAAATTAATTAATTTTAATTGATAGTTGTACTTAAAATTAAGCATCTGAATGTTTGATTGAATTGGGAGCGAAGTGAAGGTAATTCGTGTCACTTAAAAATTTGTTCACAGATAAAAATCCATTGAAGTGCTGGGTGTGCCCACCTCTTTCAATCACCCCTGTTCTGCATACCACGTGGCGCACTTTGATTGGACTAATTGGGACCTTGAAAAACATAAAATGATTTTTTTCTGAAGCCCAAGTTTGGTCCTTTTCTGTTCTCAGGATTTAACCGCATGCACTGATCATTGCCGTCCTTTTGATGGCAATCTCTTATCTGCATGCACATACAATGTGTTGTGGCATACGGGAAATGGATGGTGATCACAACTGATATCAAAAGGGAAACTAATAACCGCCATGTGGTCCCACATTGGAAGATCGGAGGGGCCTCAGAGTTTAATTCAATCAATACACATGTGTGTCATAACCATCTGATGTTGATGTTCGCCAAATCTTATTTTCAGAAGGTTAATTTCCAAAATTTAGGTCAAATGTTTTGACGACCCAAAAGTTACTGGGTCCTTTTGCTCAAACATAGCTCTTAATAATTTCAATTTTTATTTTATTATAATGAAATATATAGGTAAATATTTACAATAACAATAATATAGTCAATTAATTATCAATTTTTCATTTTAATTAATTATCATCGTGAGATTAATTCAATTGGTAAGTTTATTTGTGATCTTAGCAACAAATGATTTTACCTGCACAAGTGTAATTGTTACTAACTTGAGCATACTAACCAAAAAAAAAAAAAAAAGACAAGGGACTTCCTATTGTATCTTACCTTAGTTTCTTCATTGGCATTAGTTATCCATTGAAAAATTGACACATCTTGTCTTACTTTGGATTGAACAGCCTATCTACTCTTACATTTTGTCAATAAATATATATGTAGTTAATTAATTTAATATAGTTTGTTTGTACTAAAAATCTTAGTATGAAAAGACAATTTCATTTGTTAGAGGTGGAGAATTGGGACTGCTGCTAATCTAAAGCTGAGCAATCACTTCATTTGAATGTTGAATTAGGTGACATCATTTGTTGAAAAAAAAAAAAACCCAAGATGTAATGTTCTCAATCATGTTGTCTTCTATGATGTATCAAAGATATATAGTACATATGTTTACATGCTTTTATCTTTACTCACTTGTGGGTTCATAATTACAAAAAAAATCCCTAGATTTTTCAAGTGAATGGTAACTATGGTTAATAATTATATATAGTTTTCTTATGCTTTTAGGTTCAAATGTTATAAACAATATTTCCCATGGTATCAAATGCAATATGCGAACTGTGTAGAAACCTTTTTGCGGATAAAACAGAGGGTGAATACTATGGTCCATACTCCTATTCCTAGAATGAGAACAAAGGAAATAAATTGGAGAACCCCACTGCATATTCTTCATTTGGAAAAAAGTACTTGAATTGTAAATGTTTCTTTGAGAATACACGGTCATCCTTACATGTAAATATGTAATGTGCTAGATTATGGTACATAGGGTCCTTCTGCACTACTTTTGTGTTAGACATACATAATAATTAAGGCAAGTATGGGACATAGCGACCTTCTTAATGCATTTCAATGCCTTCTGCAAATTGAGCTGGTGGGCAGGTTAATCTCACTGTGGCCAAAAGTACAACATCAACTTGTAAACTTTGAAGGGACTTTTTTTCTTTTTTGGGCTTGGAGCGATCACTTGATCAAATCTGTTGACAAGAAGCTGTAGACAAGCATGTCTCTTATTTCACCTTTGCAAAACCCATACTTCCTTAGCAGGCCTTCTTTCAAAAACCCAACCTTTTTCAACACCTTTTGGGAACCCAGATTTTCTACCTCCACTAAAGCTTCAAGCCTTACCAAGCCTGGAAACTGTTTGAACACATTGGAAACCGCCATCTTCAGCGCGGCTGTAGCAATCCCTTGTCCCCAGTACTCTGCACTCACGGCATACCCAAGGTGAGCTCTGCATTCATCATCGCCTGATCCTGGCTTGATTGAAACGTATCCGATCGAGTGGTCATCTAAACATATGGACCGACGATAAGGTTGGGGTATAGCAACATTCTCAAGATATGACAGGGCCTCTTCCCTGGAAGTGATGGTGTTCCATCTGAGATAACGGGTTACTTTATCATCACTAGCCCATTTCAGGAAGTCGTCGACGTCGGAGATTAGGAAACGACGGAGGGAGATTCTTGATGGGTCCATTAATGAAGGCTGAAATGGTTAAAAGCAGCCTTTGGAGATGGCTGGCTCCAGGGTCAGGAGCTTTGAAAATACTGTATTCTTGCGTTGGCCAAGAGTTTAGTCTTCTCCTTCGCAAGGCCTGAAATAGATTGAAAGCCATAAATATATGTCAATTGTGGTAGCCAAAACCGCGAACCGGGTCAAATAATGATAGAGTTCGGTGCATTGCATCGAACCAGCCTCGTATCAGGCAATCGACTGGGCGCTAAGAACCCAAGTCCAAAGCTCCAAGTGCATAGAAACATATATAATTAACATATAGTATAACCATTTAGAAGAATTAAACCAATAACTAGATCAAGTACAAAAAGAAGGATAGTTCTATAATTACAACTGTAAGAATAAGCAAGTGATACGAACGAGGAGTGGGTCGAGTGAAAGTAAAATCAATCAGTGTCCTTTAGTTGGACATAAAAACAAAGTTAGATGCCATACCAAAAGAAGACAAACAGAAAAATGAAGGAAAAAAACACTGGTTGGTCAGCTTGAAGACAGATTAGTGGTTGAGACACTTGTAGCTCTAATTGCCTGGGTTTTGGCATATTTGGGAGTTGCTGGGCCTTGAGCAACACAATTTTTATCTCATAAATTTAATATATTCTATTAATCCTAACATTAGATTTTTTTTTATTAAAAAAAATTAGTACTTCCAGATTGAAACCTTTGGTGTCAATATATGCTCGACTGACTTTTATATGACGTTGTACAAAAAAAAGGCTGAATAAATAAAGAATTAGAGGGGCGGCAATGGGAAGCTATAGATCAGCTTAAAGCAAGCAACTATGTATAGATTCTAGTTCAAACTTTTAACACGTCCCTCAAATCCCAGAATTTCCAAGTGCTCATTCCTCATCGCCTTTGCAGGAATTGAGATATGACACAAGTCAATGAAAGAGTCTATTTTCTATACCAAACAAAGTAGAAAAAGCATTACCTTTTGTCGGAAGAATCCCTTTAGCTAGAGGTTTTCCTCCACTTCATGACATGAATTGTATGACTGAAGTGACCTGCAAAGATTTGTCGCCTTTGGCAAGTTGAATTTGGATGGAAAAGAGATGAATCGTATTGGAGAGATATTTTTTCACGATGGGAGAGTTGGACTTTAAGGGATTGGACGTAAACAAGTGACAGCTTTGCCAATTTTCCTGCTGTGTATCGACTGATATGGTGTCCTTTAGCTGGCCTTTGGGAACCTTAATATCAGTGCTGGCAAATCCAGACAATTGTTTATCTAAGGTGAAATTGGCTTGCTTTTTTCTTAGCCTCCAAGCATTGGGGCAAGGGGGTTTTGCATTTTACAAGCTGTGAATTACAATTAATGCAAATATACGTAGTATGAAAATGGGGTATAGAAAACAATCAAACAAAACCCTTCAACTTGCCAGTAGATCTGTGACCAATAGGCTAAATACATAAACATCAGTAGTCTTTCCATTGAGAATGAGATACTTCCTAAGGGTACCTTCCTTTTGGAACCCTGCCTTTTCCAATACCCTCTGTGAAGCCTTGTTATCCACGTCGACAAGACCTTGCACTCTCTCCACATATGGAAACTCCTTAACCACAATTGGAACAACCATTTTCACAGCTTTTGTGACAATACCTTTGCCCCAGTATTTTGAGCCCAAAGCATAGCTGATTGACCCTTTGCATTTTTCATTGGCAGAACATGGCTTGAATGCTATGAACCCAATTGGCTTGCCCTCCAAACAAATAGCACGGCACCATGGGCGGGGAATGACTACTTCCTTTAAGTAGCTCAATGCATCTTCTCTTGAACTGAAGTGCCTCAATCTTGTTCGACTGATCACTTCATCGTCACACGACCATTCCATGAAGTCATCGATATCTGATAGTTCATAGGGTCTTAGCGTGATTTCCATTGGTATAATTATATTTGGACCTCAGTTGCTCTGGATCTTTTTGATCCCTTTAGTACTCGGTTTTTTTATCGAAGGCTTCAATTGAATATAGCCTTTTGTTTTTGGCCTAATGTTGATTAAGCTTATCTAGTGGAACACTTTTATCATCCATTTTATACAAGCCGAGGACCGTAGCCGACCAGTTCACAATTCCATTTGCCCGTAAACCTTTTAGCCTTTCCAACCGGATCAGTAGACCCTTGAATTCTTGTTCAAAGGCAAGTAAAAATAGTGTTCTTTTTCCTTTTTTCAAAAGGTAAGTAAGTCAATTTTTTATAAGTAAAGGTTGTAGTCATCATTATTTGGTGCAACTGTTTGTTTTATATGTTCCATTCGAATCATGGTTTCACCCTATATTACATGAACTTGAAATCAAATGCCAGACATGATTATATCATGTTTTTGATAAGTTTTAAGTTAATTTTGAGAATTCAAATATTATATTTATATAAAAATAAAATATTTAAAAAATATCAGATATGAATATATTAAGATGAAATCAAGAGTTTACGTAACATAAATTTTATCTGCACTTCATGATAACTACAACTATTGGTTGAAATTTTTTGTTTCTTTAAGCATATTTCTCAACATTTTGCACTAATAAAGTATATACCCAGAAACACTTGTGGTAATTTGTTATAAACCTATACCTTCATCAATAGAATTCTTTCCAATGTGCAGCTTTCACTTTTCGATAAAAACTTGGGGCTACTTCAATCGGCAGGTGGTCAACCGAGGGCGGCGTAATACAAGCAAACGTTACAAACAACTTTGCCAGTTGATGCATGCATCCAGTGCTCACCACCCCAAGTAATGGAAAATTAAGCAGGCTTGGTCCCTGGTATTTTTTTCTTCTGGTCATTGAAGTGAAGCCAAGAGTTTGAAAGTTTTATTTAGTATTATGATGATGCTATCAACTGGTGCTTTATAGCAACTTATGATTATTTTTCTATTTCATTTACTACGGAAAATATTCTAGATTTTGCCGACCAAGGCTCCTTAGTCACTTTCAGAAAAAAGAAGTTTGCTCGCAGGAGTTTTTTACTGGTTGCCTCGATACACAAGTCAAACAGGGCGGCCATCCAAAGCACTCCTTTGCCCTTTCCCCTTTCCCCTTTCCCCTTTCCCCCAACTCCAAGGAAGGATCAATAATCCACCATACCTTTGTTCCTGGCAAGTTCTTAAGGCCACTACCTTTTGTTGTATATAGCCAAGGGGAATCTGCATCTCGCCCTTCCCCAGGTGGCTTCTTATCTTAAAATTTTCGTTTTACATTAAGACCTACACTAATTTTGTTACAAGAAAGCATGGAAGAAAACTGTCCTGTTCAATTAGATACAATCAAAGGCAAGGATGAATGTTCCGATCTGTCTCTTCGGCTATTAGATCCTTCAGACATAGATGATTTCATGGTCTGGGCTACTGATGAGAAAGTGGCTCGTTTCTGCACTTGGGAGCCATACACAAACAAAGAGGATGGCTTAAACTTCATCAGAAACACAGTTCTACCTCACCCTTGGTTCAGGGCAATATGCCTTGACAACAGACCGATTGGTGCCATTTCAGTCACAGCAAATTCAGGCAAGGATAAATGCAGGGGTGAACTTGGCTATGTTTTGGCATCCAAGTACTGGGGCAAAGGGATTGCAACAAGAGCTGTGAAAATGGTGGCCAAGACCATTTTTGTGGAATGGCCTCATTTGCAGAGACTTGAAGCTCTGGTTGATGTAGAAAATGTGGGGTCTCAAAGGGTGCTGGAGAAAGCCGGGTTTCAAAAGGAAGGAGTTTTAAGGAAGTATTTCATCCTAAAGGGGAGAGTTAGAGACCGGGTTATGTTCAGTCTTGTCTCTACTGATCCTCAAATTTGATGAATTGTTTCCTGATTATTGTAAATAAATTTGTAGGCCATGTTCGACAAGCTGCCCCTGCCTATGGCGAAACATTTCAGTTCAACCAATTGTATGAAATAATTAAAATCCTTAGAGGAAAAGGGATGTTGAGATAGTCACAGCAACACAAAATAGGAGAGTTGTCACTGTATTTCTCGATTATTAATTTATTATCTTTATTTGAATAATAGCCTGCTGCTCATAATATTTATTTAACACAAACATAAAAAATTAGAGTTCTATTTTTGTTATAAAAAAAAATTAAAGTTAACAAATGATTGTATAATCCCTCATTTTTTAAAAAATAAAATCCCCTCAAGTTCCAACAGGAAAGGAGAAAAGGAGGTCAGCAGAACTGACCAGGATCTTTGTTTCCCTTAGATCACTACGAAATCCACTTGAACACCGCAAGTATCTGCTAAAACCGTCGGCCCTCTAAAAGATTTCCCTTCTTTTGTTTCTGTTTCCGTTTCTTGGAATCGCAATCCTCGAAAAGCAATGGACCCACTCTCCGCCCTCCGCGACTTCACAATCCGGGGCGAGCTCGACAAAATCGTCCGAGTCAACGACGAGTTCCGCTTCGGCACCGACTATTCCTTCCCATGTTCCGGCGAGACCGCCTACCGTTCCAAACAAGGCAACCTCTACACTCTCGAAACCTTGGTTTTCTACATCCAAAACCACCATCTCAAGCACACGGACTACATGCACAACTCCCTCTCTCTCCGCATCCCCGCCGTCACTTTCACCGACCGTAAACCCCTCCTTGATTACCTTACCGGAAAAGTTTCCACCTCCGATTCCATTGTTTGGAACCCACCGAAGTTCCCCGACGAGTTTCGACCCGATCCCTCTGGGTTCGATCCTGATAGCAGTAAACCCAAAGGTAATATCAATGATGTTGTTTTGGATGAAATTGGAGATATTCATTTCGATATTAAAGATAAAGAGACAGAACTTGCGGATTATATGGGAATAATTCGATCAATTGAGAAGCCTTTGAAGGATAGAGAAGGGATTCTGGAATGTAAAAATAGGGATTTTTATAGTGTTCTTGTTGCATCAACGAAAAGGGAAGAAGAAAGGCAGAGACTTGAGTCCCAGCAGAGGAAAGATGGGTTAGTTGCTAAGAGTAGATTAATGGGGGCTGAAGAGAGGCGATTGGGGTTAAGTTATGGGGATGAAATGGTGGGATACGATTCGAAGCCGAAAATGCATTTGAAAGGGAGCAAAATTGGGGAAGGAGTGCCTATTATTTTAGTGCCCAGTGCGTTTCAGACTTTGATTACTATTTATAATGTGAAGGAGTTTTTGGAAGATGGGGTTTTTGTGCCTACTGATGTGAAAGTGAAGCAGATGAAAGGGGCAAGACCAGAGTGTGTTACTGTGCAGAAGAAGTTTAGTAGGGACAGAGATAGGGTAGTAACGGCGTATGAAGTGAGGGATAAGCCTTCTGCTTTGAAGCCGGAAGATTGGGATCGTGTTGTGGCAGTATTTGTGTTGGGGAAAGAGTGGCAGTTCAAGGATTGGCCTTTCAAGGATCATGTGGAGATTTTTAACAAGAGTAAGTGGGGGCGTTTTTGAGCTTTAGCTGGATTATTATTTGAGTTTTACTATTTAATTTGTGATGGGTCTTTTTTAGCGTGATTGAAAAGTTAAATGTGAAGCTGAGAATTTTGTCTAATATGTATAATGCATTAAATTATGGATATGATGAAGTTTTGGGGTTGTGCTCTGTGTTTTAGAATTGATACTTTTAACATGTGGTCTTTACTTGTCAGTGTTTTAGAATTAGTTTTTTGGATGGGTGGAAGATGAGAATGTATCTAATTTTATTGTGCACTCTTGATTAGAATAAACACTTATTCTTGAATTTTATGCAGTTATTGGATTTTTTATGCGATTTGAAGATGACAGTGTAGAGTCTGCTAAGATTGTGAAGCAATGGAATGTGAAGATTATCTCGGTAAGATTTTTTCCTCCTTAGTTGCTATGGTTTTTTCATCTTAATTTAGTGCAACTTTTGGTGTAACCTATTCTTCTTCCTCTGTCTTATCCTCTTATTTCTCTTCTTCTGTTTTTCTCAATGTGCCCCAACTATTCAGATTAGCAAAAATAAGAGACACCAAGATAGGGCTGCAGCGCTGGAGGTCTGGGACAGACTAGAAGAATTTGTGCGATCACGATCACATTCCTGACTGTGAGGCTTTTAGGAAACATCTATATGTACGTGTTTGATGTTCATGAGCTATGACCTTCATCCTGGATGTATCTTTGAATTTGTTTATGTATTTAAGAATATTGATTATCTTGTTATGACAATTAGCAATCTTGTTACTTTTTTCTTGTGAGGGGTGCAATGCTGATCAAGCTGCAGTATATGGTTGCAGCTTCAGAATTATAATCGTTTGCAATTGATGATATGTGTGCAGAGAGCAGAGGATGTCCCTTGACCTTTTTGATTTTGACAAATGTAAATTGTGGAACAAATGTATGAGTGAAATATTCTTTTTAGATTGAACCATTTAGGGCAGATATCTGGGGGCAAAATAGATGGATTCATTAGGGTGGAGTTATTTTCTGGTCTATTTATGTTAAATGTTTTTAGGGTAAAACATTTATAAGTGGATTTTTTGTTTTGCTTTCCAATGTCCAGGTACCGTTCTTTTGTGTAGAAATGTAACATGAACAAGCTACACATGGTTCATACTTGCCCTGGCATTTAACTTTTCAAGCTTTGTTAGCTTAAGTATGGTGGATGCACGGCAAGTGTTATGCAAATCAAGGGACTGTTTCTAGATCCCTTTTTCATCTTTAACTGGATCTCCTTGTGGCATGTTGTTAGCTTAAGTATATTGTGTTGCTTCCTGTTTTGCTCTTTTATCTACATTACTAGAGAGAAGTGATTTCAGATATCTGGACAAATGGCTACAGCATGTGTAAGGGTTGTCCTTCTATTATCTTTCATCTGGTCTGGTTACCTTAAGACAAAGTTTTGGTCATACTGAACTCTTTAGATTGCTATTTCTCTCCTTTGATATGGTCGTTTTTAGCCTTCGAATTTCAGCTTCAAAACACTACTTCCTAAAAGCATGTGAAAACCTTTCTTAGCTTAATTGAATCATAAGTTAATTTATTCTTTGGAACAGGTATGAATTGAAGATGGAATCACTATGACGATATATGAGAACTAAGTTGTGTGAGTAAACATCATTGAAGATGGTTACGCTTGGCCAACGGTTTTCTTTTATCGAGTGCCAATGCACACCAAAGGTCTTACCATTGCTGTGACCTTTTAAAATTCTGCTAGAAGGAATTCTCTGATTGGAATACTGACTTATGCGGAGCAAGGTGGTTCTCCAGATGCTTCTCTTTACACTTCTGTGCGAGTTAATGGTAAAACAGCATTAGGAAATTACAAACTTTTGATTATCAATTCTCCTATTTTATGGCTGTTGGTTGACCCCAATATATGCCAGAATTGCAATATTGTTTTCATAGACGTGTACACGTTTTGAGCTTCAACTTTTGTTTACTTCTATATATCATTAACTTCTTGCTGTGATGTTTATTTGACTTTTTGTTGCTTAGAAGTACTATACGCTTATAAATCCCTATTAGATATATTCAGTAAGTAATCATAAACAATCTTTATTTAGAAGGGAAGAGAAGCCAGAACTCTCTTCAGCAATACAAAACCATATGGACCTTGGAGGGGATAAAAGTATAAATATTACATGTATCCACACTAAAGGGAAACTAAGTAACAAATTAAGAATACCGTAAAATGTTCACTGACAAGATGGTGTCATGAGAGGTAGGGCAAACTAAAGAAGATTCAATGTGATGAGAAGATTGAACTGTATGAGGTGGCCGATAGAAGGAAGATAAGAAGAGAGAGTGACAATTTGGTGGTGCTTCCATCTGATGAGCCATCTTCCTGTGTGGATGGTACAGTTTTAGATCCACCGCCTGCACCCATTTTATAAACATTTACTCCGGTGAACAGAGTTGAGGAACAAATATACAAGATTTGGGCGAACATATCTCATTTGTTTTCATACTGATTGAGATTGTTTGTTAAGTGAAAAAATTCAGTATAAAGTAGATGCCTAAGCAAGGCAGGAATCTGGCGATGAAAGAAAGTCTACAAGGCAACAATTATTTTGTACCTGTAGGAATTATGCTCCCAGATTCTGGTGATCCTACAGGTGAATCCGCTGGAACTGGAGAAGCAGCTGATAACAAGCAGTCGGTGTTAGTGGAATATCAGAAAAATTTTGAGTAAAATCTAATTGCCTCTTAATTGAAGAACTTTTAACCTAAGGAATAAGTTTTGTTGATATTTATTCAAGATTGAAATATGAAAGAAATATTTAATTGCATCCTTACAATTACAGCTGCTGATGGGTGGAGTCCGGACATTGCATGAGCCAGGTAAGGCCAAAGCTTGAGTCTGGTTGATGGTGATCCCCAGTGATGAACCACCACCATTAAGGACCTCACACAAGCATTGTGGCGATGAACGTACGACATTTGCAAGCTGTGTGCAGCATTGTTGGGATGGGGTCGATGAGTTCCCTGTAATGTAATTGAGGCAGGGTGACAGGCTGATCAATATGCTAGTGCAACTTGACTGAGCTGTAGCTCCTGCACAAAGCATGGCAACCAGGACCAAGACAAGACATGTTGCCATCTTCCCGTTTGCCATTAGTTCTCTTGGTCGGGTAATCGCTGAGAATTCCTGCAAGATTGTGCTGATTTCCTGCAACTTTGGAATGATGGCAGGATGGTTTGGTTTGGTTTTTATAGGGAGACTGTGGAAGGAACAAATAACAGCAAGTCTGGAAAAAGAGTTGTGGGTGACCAACTTTCCTACTCTTGAACGGGATTCAATAGTCAACTACAGGTTATATCTCTGAAGTGTTCAATGATGGAGGCTTCAGGCTTATTACTATTTGTTTGGTTAGCATAAAAAAACCTACGTAGGGCGGTTTTGTGGGTGACCAACCTTATGTTCCGTTGATGAATTTATGATGCAGGGTGCATAGATGTTTAAAACGTTCAAAACTGAACACTCTTGGAAGCCCCAACTATGAAGAAAGCATAACGTGTTTCTGACTCCACCTTTCTACGGAATTTGTCTTTGTAAAACTCTCTTTTAAGAATCTGAATCTGGTTTAAAAAGAAGAAAAATTCGCTTACAAAGTTAAAAAAGACATTGAGCAAAACTGTGAGTGTTGGAGAAGGCCGTTGCTTGCTTGCTTCTTCTAGATGTTTGGGTCGGGCATCCTCTGAAAATGATATCTACTCTGTTTTCTTGCTTCAGACCAAAGAAAATTGACTTCCCCCATTGATGATTTAGGACACGACACATGTCTCAAGGACCAAGGAGCAGACATTTAAAAGACAAAATTGTAATCGGTCGTCATCGACATGGTAAAGAGGACAGCTGCCCCTACGTTGGTTCAGGTGTTTTCTATCGTCTCTTTTTTTTTAGTTAAATTCCTTGGAGATTTCGATTGAAAGGTTTAGGCAATTCCCCTGGAGCTTGTGATTTTCATTGTTAATTTTAGCAGACTTGACACGATGGAAAGTGTAGATGCATTTTCAAGGTGCATGGATTGATTTCACGCCATCACTTTTATCATAGCAAGAAGAGAGAAATGGGGTTTCACTTTAACTATTTTCTCTGTTACAATTTCTTTAACATTTCCCCCTCTTCTCTTCTCTCTTATCAATGAGAAGACGTAATGAAAGTGTGTAACATGCAAGGTTCGATTGGGCTTTGGAAACTGAAGCAAAATCATTCTTTTAAGGAATTAAAAATGGGAAAAAGAGGTGGGAGAAAATTATGAAAGATTACATAGTTTTAATATGACTTAAAAGGTCAATTTTGTACTGCTAATTAATTCAATGTAAATGATTCCTATTTCGTAATTGTCCTTTTTAACTTTGTTCAATACCCTTAAAACGGATCAAATTACTCCCCCATTGGTCTGTAAACTAAGCTGAAGCGTGAGCTTGAATTGATCACTATGGCTAAGACCTAGGACTTCCAAAAAGAAGTTGAGCCAGCCATATCCTTAGGTCATGAGTAGGTTGCTCCTAACCCCATCGATCATGGGTGAGAGGGATTTGAAATCATTTTGGGTCCTGCTGGAGGTCCCCTAATTATTTAAGGGTAAAAAGAGAGGGACAGTTGTTGGTGCCTTCATGGCATTGGAAACTATTGCTAGTTGTCATCTTGGCCATTTGCACTTCTATTCCTACTCGAATCAAAACTGAAAATCTTGCATTTCTGAATTTTCTTCTCCTCTTCACTTTTTGTATTTCCCTTAAAAGAAACCAAAAGTGAAAACATTATGAAAATAGAGCTAATTAATTCTTTACCCGCATCGTATTAGAAATTTATTAAAGATATAATGTTTTTAAAAACTTTTGATTTATATTTTAATATTTGATTTATTAGTTGATATATGATTCTTTACTTAAAAAGTAAAATTTGAATTTCTTTTTTTCAATTTAAAAAAAATTCTCTCTTTTATATAAAAAATTAACTAAATTTTTATTTTTATTACTTTCAATCAAATAATTTCTTATGATTAACAATTGATTAACTTTTATTAATTAAATTATCATTTATTATTTTTATACTAATATGAAGTTGACATGACACTAAAACGAAAGATAATAATATCACATGATTATATATGTTATCATATCATATAAGCACCATCTACTATGACATGCTAATACATTATACTAGCTACAAATAATTAGGGATGATTTGATTAACTACAGTTTACAGTTAATCAATTATTTATAAAAACTTATTTAACTCAATATAAAAATATAAGAATATAATTGAATGTAATAAAAGAATAAACACTTATTTAAATCTTCCTAAACAGTTTAGGAATTTTTTCAAATATATTATGCTCTTGTTAAAAATTATCAAAATTTAGGGATTTTCAATATCAAAGAAAATAAAAAATAAAATGTTCAACATGCTTTAAACCGGCCAAGGTCCAGTTATTTTCGTTTTTTGGATTCAAAGATATTTACTCAAAATATAAAAGATAAGTTTCTTATCATTGAAAGACATTACAGTTGAAGCGTGAACAACCTTTTGAATTACTCATGCATGAACTTAGCAAACCACACAAGCTTTATATAAGAGGTAATTAAAGCCAAACCATACAAACTTTTGTTAAAACGACAATGAAATGCTGAACAAAACACGAGTAGATAGCATCATAAACAGTAATAGAAGCATGAAGATATCCCACATAGCAGCCTCAGAAATTGCTGGAAATGGAAGCATATAAAGCTATGGGCAGCAAGAACAGGATGAGCTGAATCGGCATCTTAATGATAACTTCACTGGAAGTTGCTGGAACTGTTTTAGACCCGCCTGCATCCATTCAATAAAAGAATGAGAAGATGATTGAACCGCTTTGATGTACTTACAGTGACGGTGAAAGTTGAACCGAACTATATTTTCAAATAGACCCCCTATTGATATAGTTTGCTCCATGGACAAAGACCCCCATGTGGATGTCGAAATTAGTTTCAAACTTTTCCTCAAACTAGTAAAATTTGAAACCAACAATTTAGGTTTTAGCAAAGGGGTTTAGGATTTTGAAACTATTAAGGTTATTTCTTGCGTGGTTCTAAGCTCTTACATCAATTTTCCTTAGGTTTTGTTAAGTCACACATTTTGTGCTTCCAAGAAAGCATTTTTCAAGGTAGAGTATAGGTTAGCAGCAAAAGTATGTGTAACCTTTTCTCTTTTTTAGCAGAAGTACTGGTCTAAGTTCGAGTTGATGGAAGGATCTAACTATAGCAAATTATGCTTATGTTATTGTTAGCTTCTCCATGTGCTAGATAGAAGCCTAGCTAGACCTAAGTTTACAGTGTATATAAGATTTGAACTTAGAAGCTCTAAAGTTTAAGCTGATATAATTAGCTAAAGCCTGAATGATCAATATGTTGACAGGTATAGAACCAATGAGAAGACCTGATGCTGATGAGCTGCTTGGGGTGTCAGCTGAACCGCCTGGTAAACCTTGAGGAGAACTCGCTGGAGAATCAAAAGGAGATATTGCAGTTGCAGGTCCATCAGCAGCTACCAAAAAGTTAAAGCATCAAACTCTAAATTACATGGCTGAACTATAAAATGTAGTCATTTTCTAAAAAAGAGAACATATCGGCTTTTACCATTGCACTTGCTAACGGGTGGAGTTTTCACATTGCAAAGAACAGGGAGTGCTAGAGCAAGTGTCTGGTTAATCGACACACCCAGCGACGCACCGCCGCCGTTGAGCGCCATGCAAAGGCACTGTGGCTGTGATTGAACAACATTAGCAAGCTGCGAGCAGCATGACGCAGAAGGGGTTGAGGAGCTTCCTGTCACGTAATTGAGGCATGGAGCCATGGTGATTAGCACACTGGTGCAATCTGACTGAGCCATGGTTCTTGTGCAAAGCATGGCTACCAGGAGCAGGACTAAACCCCCGGTGATCTTCCTTGAGGCCATTTGACTATAATAGAACAGATGCCCGCCGAAGTGCCGCACGAACCTTGAGCAGGAGTTGTAGATTGTGTAGTTTGGGTTGGATTCTGGTGCAGGGAAGGGGGCTGATTTATATAGAAAATCAGTAAATTAGGATTATTTGTAGTAAATTTTCGAATTAAGGCTTATTGGTGAACTAAAACATACAATCTGAGGTAAGCTATATAATCCTCGTAAGAACGTAGTAACATGTGTCAATTTGGGGTATTAAATATGTAAAGACTAAAAGGATATATGTAAAGCCCATATTTACTCAAGATGCTTATGCTGGCCCAAATGCATGAATTGAAAATGACCTTTGGATAATTGACGAAAGATGTCAGGTAACCTGATACTACAAATTTAACACCATCGACGAGGATTAATTAGGATCTGACACTTGGCAGACAACTATTTGTCTAGAGTAATATGCCCCTGAAGAAAGAGAACAGATTTTTTTAAATGATTGTAGATTCCACGTCCCTATATATATATATATATATATATATCTTTAAATAACAATTATAATTGTATATATCTTTTAAATATTTTTCAAATGTAAAAGTTAATTAATAGACATACATATTATAATTGAATTGAATTATTTATAAAAGAAAATTAAAATTTCAATTATATATAATTGAAATTTTACAATATTTAATACTATTAAAATTAAGAAAAAAATTCTAAATATAAAAACTAAATATGATATTTTTATCTATCAAAAAGTTTTCCATATCCGTACTTCTATTTATATTATAGATATGGATATTGATAATAGATAAAAAAACATTATTTATAAATAAATGGATCAAGCATCCTGATAACTTTATTTTTATAAGGAAGTGTTTAAGAAAATTAGGCACCGCACCATATATTTAATGCCGAGTTTAATTCAAACAAAATTACCATGGGAAATGTGAGAAATAAAACTAAAACATAAGAAAAGGGAAACTTCATTTACCGTCAATGAATGAGAAAAGATCATGGACTGTAACAGTGCTTCCTACTAGAATGGAAATTTTTAGTATAATATTTTAATTTTTTTTGAATTATTTAAAAATATTTAAATAAATTTTTTATTTTATCAAACTAATGTATTTTATTTTAAGTCAAATATATCTTTATGAGTAACCTTGATTAACTATTATTAATTAAAATAATATTTGTAATTTTATAGCTAGATGATGTTAATGTAGGTGAATAAATATATCATCATGTTATATCAATACATGTTAACATGGTATGACATAAGAATTATAAATGTCATTTTGATTAATGATAATTAATTAATTATAAAATTTTATTTAATTCAAAATAAAATTATAAATGTTTAATTAAACATAATAAAAAAAATCTTATTTGAATTTTTTTCAACATAGTAAAGGAATTTTTAAAGTACTATGTCAAAATTTTTTTTAAGACAAGTTAGCTATTATAAATTGCCTGTTGTTAAATTTGTAAATTTAGATAAAATGATAAAATTAAATTATCAGATAATACAGATGTTAATTGGTTTGAATTGTAGCTCATAAGATCACAAAAAATTGCTTTCATATTCAAGTAGTGAACAAAATTAAACGTTTAAACCATCCCGAAAGAATTAAAGAATGAAGATTAATTTCTTCCTTAAACAATTAAATTGCCTATAATTTGCGGTGACTCGAAACACGAAATGGGAGTAGTTTGAGTAACAATAGACAGCCAACTGCTTAAAGAATAGTGGGTTAAGTCAGGTTAACTAAAGATTCTCTATCACATCTTTTGCGGATTCAGTGAAACCTTGCAGTGGGACATTCATCAAATGGTTCCTATTGGTCTGATTCACTAACCTTTCGATTGATAACATTGGCACTTCATCCCGTGGCAGGTTTAGGTCAAAATGGGTCCCATTAGACTAACTACGTGGCTAAACCAATTTCCTTTGTTTTACTCAATATTGGTTATGGTAGTTGAGCTTCAAAACCAACTTCGAGCCCACCTGACCTAAACCCCTTCTTCTATAAATTCACTCATCCTTTGCCTTCCAATCATCACCAAACTCCGACATCCAATCATCTATTATTTTTTTCTTGACCAACATAAATTCCTCTTAATCAACTCCTCCAAAGTCTGTCCCGACCACAGTATGATGGGTTTCTCCAAAGCATCTTCCCGCCTTGTACCAGTTCTGTTTGTAGCTTTGACAGCATTGATGTTGCCTGTTTATGGCCAGATCAATACTCCATGCAATCCATCGATGCTCAGTACCTTCACCCCTTGTATGAATTTCCTTAGGAATAGCACTGCCAATGGTACTTCACCAACTGCAGATTGTTGCCAATCTCTTAAGACCCTCACAAGTGGTGGCATGGGCTGTTTCTGCCTCATTGTGACCGGAGGTGTCCCTTTCCAGATACCAATCAACCAAACTCTAGCTATCTCTCTTCCCCGGGCTTGTAACATGCCTAGTGTCCCCGTCCAATGCAAAGGTGAAATATATTCAACCTATACAACATTAAGGATCACATTTCTACATTTTTTGTCCTTTTAATCGAATGAAATCACTAAATGAACGTTTTCTTGTTTTGCAGCTACCTCTGGTGTACCTGTTCCTGCTCCAGGTATGTTTTCCAAAATGATGATAGGATTCCATTACAAATTGCTTTAATTTGACTCAAATTTTATATGGGACAAATAGAGTTTACTTCAAACAGGCCAGAGCTGCACGTTTGCAGAGTTCGTTCTCTTATTTTATGAGGTCAATATAAACTGAACCATATGTGCTTATCGGTTTAGTTATTCTTTCACAGGTCCGATCGCACTCTCACCCACCTTGTCTCCTGGAGCTTCACCAACTCTAAGCCCAAAGGGTAAATAGAACTGCTCTTTCAGCTCAATTGTGAAAGCTGTTGCATTTGAGTTACCACAAAGCCTAAGGCAATTATCAGTGTGATATTGATTTCGTTAATTTTGTTTTCCTGAACAGGTTCCTTTGTGCCTGAACCATCACCGTCCGCTGAGGCACCAGAATCCGACACCACACCGGCTCTAACTCCGCCATCTTCAACAGTGGGTTCTGAGGCCCCAACAGCCACTACAGGGAGCCGCCCTGTTCTTACCCCGTCATCTGCCAACCCCGCTTACTCTTTTTCACCATTCCTTGTGGTGTTCACATTAGCATTTGTGATTTTCAAGAGCTTCTAGGCGGCGATATCTCCTATTTCTACGTATTAATCCATTTGTTTGAGAAGTTTATTCTTTTAGGGGTGTGAGTGACACAATTGTTTTGAGAGCTATATTGGGTGATTGTTCCTAAATAAAATGATATTAGTGTAAGTTTTACTGAATAAGTAAATTAGAAGATTTGTTTATTTCTCTAGTGACAGTTTTTTCATGCCTAATGGTTAATTTGACGTTTTAAATGGAAACGAAAAATCTGTAAACGATTGGTAAAATCAGCTAAGATATCAAACATACAAGGCAGTAACTCTGAATGTGTCTCTTGATCAACGTGATCAGCATTCATGTTCATCCTCATGCCTCACTCACGCTTTGGTCATCAAATTAGAACCTCAAAGTTTGTTACGAGAAGTATTGTTTGATTCACCCACCTACTTCTCACAATGCGCGTGACTGATCTCGATTTACCAAACCACCCATCAAGATTGGCATGCTGTTCTAAGGAAACTCAGTTAAAATATAGCCTTTTTTCCCCTATAATTAACTACAAGTTTGTGAGATTGTGACATTTTCAGAGCACTCTGTTAAGGAAAAACAGAACACCCTGCATTTTCTTCGCCATTGTTTCAAAAGATAGCAAAGGGAGGAGAGGTAGTAACTGGTAGGTACTGCTGAAGTCAGTATGGGAGCAATGTTACTCCCGTGAAAGGCACATTATACATATAACTAGAATTCTTCACTACACCATGGGTTTACGGGGACTGCAAGTTTCATTGGTGTTTACTTGGCTATTAGCAATTGTGCTTTTCAAGCTTGCCCCCATGTTTAACAGCCAAATGCAAGGCTGCTCTGTTCAGGATGTAGACCTTGGGCAGTGTTTCAATCAAGGTATTAATTCTTCCATTGAGATTGCATGCTGCAGGGCCCTTAATCAAGTCGTCCAAACCGGATATAATTGCTTGTGCTCACTGTTGTCATCGTTTATTGCTCCTTTAAGCACCCCACTGTCATTGCCATTGTCAAATTGTTACATACCAGTGCCTTCCTTGACCCTCTGTCGAGGTAATGTCGGATATCAATACTCTTTTCCTGATATGACCTTACTTCCCTTCTTAAGCATAACGTATCTCCTTTCTTTTTTCTCTCTCATGTGAAGTTCTAGCTCCAATGCCGGTGGTGCTTCCACCAGATAGTCCGGAAAGAAATCTTACTCTACCTTCTGCGCCTTCTATAGATGTTCTTGCTCCCCCAGCTCAGGATCAGATTCAGGTTCCCTTGAACTTGACTGAGGACAATAGCCACGCTGAAGAACAAAGGAAGCCGCATTCGATTGAAAATTCAGAACCGGTATCGTACGTGTCTGATATGAGAAACGGGACATCAAATGGAAAGGAGAAAACCAAGATGTTGGCTCATCAAATTTCGTTGTTGTTGTCCTTGGCTCTTCAGGGATGTATTTTATTAGCTTAAAACTTTAATCCTGCTTTTCGAAGCCATGCAGATGCAGATTACACTAGTGAACATTTGCATATAATATATATATATATATATATATCTGTTTAAGCTAACACTCCAAAAGTATACACCCCTGAGCCCTTCTTGTAGATCACTTTCAATTGCATGTATTAAAACAATAAAATAATATTTTAATATTTTTAACATATTTTAGATTTAAATTTTAATAACAATATAAATATTTTTTAATAAAATAAGTTAATCAAACTATGTCCGGGCTTGAAAAATAATGCCCAAGCCCTCAAAAGAGTTTCAATTTTGAAAGACTTCTCCCAAATAATTAACGGCTAACGGCTAACGGCTAACGGCTAACGGCTAACGGCTAACGGCTAACGGTTAACGGTTAACGGTTAACGGCCATTCCCGCCACTTTCCTTCCCATTTTACCTAAGCGCCCTCCAGTATAACAGATTTTTAACAACCTCTCTCTCTCTCTGTCCCTCTATGCCATGGCTACGACCATCTTCATAGCGATCCTCCACTTAACCCTCCTTGCCGTGGCGGCACAGCCGCTGCCACCACCACCTGAGCAGCCAGGCTGCGTGGAGGAGCTGGTGGCTTTCTCGCCCTGCCTCCCGTATGTGTCAGCCCCGCCAAACAACGCGACCGACATTGTCGCTCCACAGTGCTGCACCGCCTGGTCCTCAGCTTTCGAATCAGGCGACAGTTACTGTTTCTGTTACATCCTCCGGCAGCCGTTGATCTTTGGGTTCCCATTGAACCAGTCCAGGGTCGCTTCACTGTCTTCTTTCTGTAGGGCCAAGAACCGCACTTCTCTGTACTCGCTTTGCTCTACAGGTTTTCATCTTTTTCTTTTTACCCAATTATTTAATTAATTGATTTCTTTCTTTTTACCTAATTGTTTAGTTCACTGATTTCTTTATCATCTTTTCTTTTCTTTCAGTAGAAAAAACAGTAATCTTGACTCCAAATATCAAAATTAAGTTCTTGATTTAGAATTAATACGGTTCCAGGCCTTTAATCTTTTGATTGATTAATGTAATGGTATGCCATTATTTATTACGATTATGCATCAGGTGTACCAGCGTTGCCGCCTTTGCCTAGCACCACAGACTCAGGGAGACTGAAACCTTCCAGTTCTGGTAAGCAAGCCCAACACTCTCTTCTTTCTTTTTTTTTTTTTTTTCCTTTTCATTTTTTCATGTATAATTGACCAAATGCAAGCCTAAATTATTTGTTTGAAATACACATAGATGACCAGATGTTACTGGTTTTGTTTAAAAGAGAAAAAAACCAGATTTTAAAGGGTAGTTCATCGCTCGTTTTATGAAATGAAAAGGGTTATTACCAGTCCTAAGAATCTGAAAATAGGCAGATACCAAAAGTTGTTAAGATTTCAATTGTATATGAAGGCTATAGCATTAGCATTAAACTGTTATTGGTGCAGAAAAATTAAGAAAATCGTTCTACAGGTTCAGATAATGATTCATCAGCTTTAATATACTCACCCCCGGAATCTGCTGTAAGATCACCACCGCCACCAAGTTCATCAGTAGAACCAGCCATTGTTTCTTCTGCAACAACCCAGATTTACAAGCAGAGCAGTTCGTTTCTACTTGGGATGATGATTTTTCTGCTTAACTAGATTCAGTTGTAGACCGACAGTAATGTAGATCTCCCAATTCGTTCAATATATTACTTTGTAATTGGCAAACTGATATTGTAAAATACTTTCTGTCAGCAAAGCATTATGAAATCCAGATGGTAATAGTGTAAGAAGATCTCATTTTTGCTTTACCATTATGTCATATTATCACTTGAAGTAGACACATAATTCATCACATTTGTCACTGTTAAGCAAACGCAGGCAAAAAGGTCATATGAAAATAAGGGCAAAAAAAAGTGAAACAACCCTTGAAGGGTTAGTATTTCATTTCCAACCGTCAGACCACTCAGCTTCATCTGTAACAGGTTTGGGAACTTCACTTTCAATGGTGCCTTGAACCCATCCACTTTCAGCATGGGTGTTTTCATCATGGTTCCAGCAATCCTCCTCAATTGAAACTTCATCAACATACACCTGCCTCTCAGGAAGAGCACAGCCCTGATAAGAGTTGTTATCTGCACAACGCCATATAAGCTTGCTCCAGTATGGGTCCTGCCATGCATTGAAGATTAAACAGTCAGCTAAACATAAAAAACTGAATTTTTGGGCTGTAGGTATGATAAAATGCCTGTGATGATTCTACAGCAATGACATTATTTGGTTGAACACAGGTAAGTTAAAAAAGAGTAGCAACATATTTGATAGTAAATGACAACCTCAAGTGAAAATTGATACCTTGGAAATTATGTGGGGATTCCCAATAATAACAAGCAAAGATATTGCACGGGTAATGGCCACATTAAACCTTCTTGGATTGCTCAAAAATCCCAAACAGTAGGTCCTGTCAAACTCATTGTGTTTGACTGTTGATCGGACAGTAGATATGATAATAATTTTTCTTTCTTGTCCTTGAAATTGTTCAACGCTTCCAACCTTGATATCAGGCATGTCAAGATTCTCAAGGGCATTCTGTAGTTTGAGGACTTGCTGCCTGTAGGGGGTTATAACACCAATATCTTCCTGGCTCAAAATGCCACTAGCTGTCAAACTCTTAACAACCTCTACAACCTTGCTGGCTTCAATCCGATTGAACCATGATGGATTACTTCCTTCCCTCTCATCAAAGCCTTGGATGCCAAAGAAAAAGACAGGGAACTCCTTATTAGGAAGAAACTTAACTGAATTCAAGACTGAACCTATGTAATCTTTACAAGGGATCAATTCACCATTGTAGAAAAGCAATGAAGGGAGATATAGGATCTCTGGGTCACAACGGTAGTTTCTAACCAATTTTGTTACATAATTTTCATCCCCTTCAGAATAAAATTCGCATTCAAATAGCCTTTCTAAGTATGACTTCCCCAGTCCGAGAGTCTCTGCTTCTCTGGAGTATATAACTGGGCCTAATTGCATTGGGTCTCCAGCAAGCACGACAACTGTGTCTCTTTGGCAAAGGTTGGCTATAGGGACCATGCTTTCTGGCTCTGAAGCTTGACCAGCCTCATCCAAGAAAATATGAGAGAAGTGGCCCTTAGGAACACTTTCTGCACAGAGAAGGGAGGAACTCATGTAAGTTGATATGACGATTCTGTAGCAGGTGATAGCACTAACTGGAGGACATTTGAAGACAAGCTCATCAAAGAAGCAAAACCGAAGAAAATCAGGCTTGACATCATTGTATGGACGTGTAGCTGCATTGAGTCTGAATATTTCATTCTCTCTGAGCTCAACAGACTCTGCATTGAGGAGTTTCTCTAGTATGAAATCAGCAGTGCTATTTGAAGGGGCGCAGACAAGAATTCGAGAACAATCTTGAGTTTTGTGGAGCTGGAGGATTGCCTCCACTACTGTCATGGTCTTCCCTGTACCTGGAGGCCCATAAATCACGTAAGGGGGTCCTCCTTTGCAGCCAAGGATCATCTCAATTGAGCACATCTGCTCCTCATTAAGTGTACAAGATATGGGCACCAGAGGAGTCGTTTCAATCAGCCTACTTTTCGGGGACTCAGATGGAAAAAGGAGATTTAACTCTAAGCCTTCTGCAGCATCAATGGCTTGGTATAACCTCCGCATATTGATTCGGTTATATGTGAACTGTACATTATAAAGATTCTCATCTATGTGGGACAAGTGAAATTCTGGTGCAAACTTCAAAAACACTTCATCAGCTTCTACCCTATGGATAAAACCCTGCAAATCACCACATTCAGTGATGGAGAAAGGTCCAGAAGATTCTCCAAAAGAAAAAAGGGCCAAGGAACTTTAAAGACTCCAGTGAAATTGAAGGAAAGGGAAAGAGTGAGAAAAATATCAGAAAATCCATACCACATGCGTAATACATAGATACTGAGATTCACATAATAAGACAACCCAGTTTGTGTTATGCAGTCATGGGTAGATGCATTCCTGTTAATACAGATTATGTTGATGAGCGGTATCAGAATTACACATGTTACAGCGTTATCTATCAAACATGAAGATATACCTTGCTCTTCTGTTTTTAATGATCCATGATGCTTGACCTTGAAAGGAGTAAAGTACGTATCTAAGCATCAAGTCACATATAGACCTAATTGACATGGCAGCACCCAGGCGTCTAGAATCATTCAAATATCACACAAAGAGGCTGGAAGTGCTTCAATGCTAAAAGGAGAAACATATAGTAATTTTTATGTACACAGACCTGATAAACTCTAGATGTTTCACTTGCATCTTGACAAGGGAGCTTAGCAAAAATATGATCTCCATGGACAAGTGAAGGCCTTCTTTCAGCAAGCCCTGGGACCTTAAGCGATAAAAACTTTCCATTCTTTCTCATGTTAATATTCTCCATGTTATAGGCCCTCATGTCTTCCTGAAGCCAACAAAAATAGAAGAATCTTAGAAGAAAATAAACAATAATTTCACATCACGAATATTAATCTTCTTTCTTACTGAAGATTAGAGTTACCTCTAGTTGTAACTCCTCCAAGATTAAAAGATGTTTGAAGTAAGATGCATAATTATCCTTTGTTAGACCTGCTTTAATAACATCAGGAGTCTGCTTACTCTCAACCAGCTCTCTAATATCCTTTGGAATGTCATACCGGGGAAGCCTGCTTTTGAAACCTCGTTCCATTGCCCTTGCTGGGCGTGATCCAGTAACAAATGCATCCACAGCAAATTGTTTCTTTCTCTGTCCTCTAGAATATGGCTTCTTAGATGCCAAAGATTGTGAGATCTTATCTTCGACCAACAGAAAGGCCACTCTTTCTAATCTATCACCTCCCACATCAAAATGCACAACTGTAGTGTGCAAGCCAATTTGCTTTGCTTTGCAAGACAGCCAAATAGTTAAAGTCTCTCCAGGCTGTATCATTCTGTCCTCTAAATCAAAAAATTCAATGAACCCTTGGCTTCTATTTCCTTCAGAATTTGCTGATGGAGGTTTCATCAAAGAAAGAGTGAAGGAATCCTCAGGAGTCGATGCATAAATTTTAGTCCACAAATCCATAGGATCACCACTGGTGTTTCTGATAGTGATCGAATCAAAAGCAGTTTCTCCCACAAAGACGGATTGAGGCTTCCCATCTATAAAAGAAAATGGTGCAGAGACTACAACAGGACCCTCTTCAAGTGGATTGTAATTACACACAGAGTTATCGTTCTCATAATCAATGAAATCAATTTCTCCTTTGTCTCCAATGACAGAATATTCATCATCCCACTTGTCACCAGTCATTCCCATCACCAACCGGAAACTGATTTGAAACAAAATTCAAAATATACAATCGTTAGCCACTTACAAAAGCAGGCTTATACATTTAAAACAAAGTACATTACAACTGCAAAAAATGGAAATCCATTTTCAGCATCATCAGCAATGACAATCATGTACAGTTCAGGATTGAAGCACAAGCAAGGCCTTAAAGTTGAAATTTTTATAAGCATAAACCTTTTTTTTTTATGAGCAATCACCAATAAACAAATTAACAGGACAATGGCAAAGCGGAAAGACAATCGAGTTTAAGCATTTTCATTATCATCAGAAAACCAGCCATGAAGTTAAAGAGTTTTTCAATCACCAGAGTTCTTTATGAGCAGTAACGAGTTAACCCAAAAAAACAGGATAACGACAATCAGCAAGAAGACGGAAAATCAAAGCAGAAATATAATCAAGGTCAAGGATTTCCGTTATCTATCAGAAAATGAAAACCCAACATTTTCAAATATACAATTCAATACGTACGAAGCACGTGAGCATGAGTCAGTGTATAAAACAATGAGGAAAGAAAGCTTGTGCTGAGAGAAAAAAAGAAAAAAAAAACCCACCCTCAGATTTGGAAAAAAAAACCACCCACACTGAGATTTAAAAAAAACAAAAAACCCACCTCAGCAGAAAGCAAAGCTACAAAAATACTGTGAAAGAAAGGCGACAAAAGATACAGTGGTCAATGCAGATACAGATAATGCCGGAATTAAGGGACTCTGGGGTGTTAGGAAACTAAAAAACCTTGGATTTATCGGCATTGTATAATTTCTTTTTAAAAAATCGAAAGAAAGAGAAATCATTTACACTACTGTTTGGTTGGAAAGAAAAGAGAGGGAATGGAAAGAAAAGTAAAGAAACGAAATGACTGAGAAAAAAAAGAAGATAATGACACATCAACCAGAAGGTTTGACCCTGCAAGCTGCGAATACGTACATGCTCTTTTTCTTGACAAAAGAGTATATGATATGAGAGTCCAAGGTGGCAGAGAAAAAGCCATTCCTGTTTAGGAGATTGACGTGGCTGCATCCCCTTGGTTTGTTTGATTCTTTGGGCCAATTGGCTTTATTTTGTGGAAGGATCCAATGAATTCGGATTTCGAGGGGAGGACTCCAGTCAAGTAGGGCCTGTATGATCTGCCCTTGCACTCGGCCTTTCTGAATTGCAAATTCTGCAAGAAGCCTGAAATTACTACCATGTTTTCCTCTTCCTTTCTTTTGAATTTGTTCATGCAAAGAAATATCAGACCTTGTATTAAAATTAAGTAGTAGTCTTTTTGGCCCTGATTCAAACGTAAAGTTACAAAGATGGTGGGCAACGGCCAACGGGGACGATGCCCATGATTCTCAAATCATCAGGAGCTTGAAACGCTCGAGCGGTAAAACCGGCCATACTTGACAATCAGTAGAAACAGCTAAACTAGAATTTCAGGTATCTCTAGAAGCAGAACCTAACAAGAATCAGCTCCATGAGACCTTTCAAATTCATTCAACTCATTTATTTTCCTAAAATAGCAATTGATCTGCTATAGCTTTCTTGCTCATATATAACCTTTTGGCAATATTATCACATGCCAAACTTCACTTTTCATGTTCTCTCTGTTTTCTTTCCTTATCTCTCATAAAAACCAATATTATTGGCTGACTCAAATATGTGTGTGTGTGAGAGAGAGAGAGAGATATCAAGCAGTTAAGAGCAGAAGTTGGGAGCTTATATTATGGCAGAATGACATGTACCATTGCTGCTTTGCCAGCACTTTTCTATTTTGCAAGCCTAGTCATACCTAATTACCTGCCTGTTCGAAAGGAGCTTAGATAGCTTCGAGGTTCCACGGTGGTTCCATTGACATCTACTCTACGTCAGTACTGAACCGGTTTTCTAGTTCAGGCTGGGAGATGAGATGTAGAGCTTCCCCTCTGCGTAGTTTTGCCCTACTAGATTTTTTTTTTTTAGCCCTTAGATTGTTTACTAGGAATATATAATTAAAGAGGAATGATAAAGGATGCGAACATTTTTAATTTTGAAACTATTCAAATAAAAACAAAAAAATGAATGTTTGACAACTTTCATACTAAAAATGTCGAGGCAACATAGCATTATTCGTTATAATTTGGTATTCCGGTTACATTGAATACCTTATTTAAGAAAATGAAAAAGGAAAATAGAAAAAAGAACTGTTCCTCCTCTTCTGGCATTTGGAGAATGGTTAATAAATGAATGAATAAAGCACTAGTTGACGGAACATTGACAGGCTTCATATGTTTGTTGAAGGATCAAATTCTTGCCTATGAGTTAAATTCTCTAAACAAAAGAATTACTGATATCCCTGGCCTAATCAGAATGTTTAACCTGACAATCCTGTTTGCATTCTTGCTTCACTCTCATGGTATTAACTACGGGTACACATCGTCCAGACTGGGTCAAACTCAAACATGAGATTTACTGAATGTAGCTTTAAACAATAAACTCAAAACTTGTATTCCTACTTCTGGGTACCATTGCTAGAAAATACAGATCAGGGAGGTTTGGAATGGAATCCTCTCCCATGAGTTTGATACTGTTGATTTGTTCGATCCTCTTTTTTTTTTTTTTTGATCTACCATTTATTTGCCTTTTCACACATCCACTTGTGAACTGTGGTAAGACAGACTAAACTTTGCAGGAAAATGGAGATGAGCCAAGACTCAAAAAAGCTCATATGCTTTCAACTTCTCGTCTCGAGTGGAACACATCTTCCTGCATTAAGAAGCTAAAATGCCTAATTCAGAGCTCTTTAGTTATATTTCAGTAAAATAACTCCCAATAGACAAGATTTGCCCATCAATGGTTTCCACTTCAAAATAAATATCATCACATTTTCTAAACTTTTGCACTTCAAAACATCATCAATTCAAGCAACAGAGGGTGGATAAATAGTTTTTGATACTAAGTTTTTGCTGCTCAGACATTGTTTCCCATCGGTACATGCAAATTCAACACCCAGAATGGAAGAGAAAATCCAGGATATATCTTCAGGCTGAAGCACCTTCAGCATCCTTGACAGATTCACGCCAGGCATACTCCCTAGCTCCATCTTTGTCGACGATCTTGATAACAAAGTTCGGTGGTGCCACAACCAGTCTTGATCTGATCTCCATTATGCATTTATCGACTAAATCAATGGCTTCTTCCACTGTCATGCCACTGTGGTAGTGCCTGTCCATCATAGCAAGAGAAAAATAGGATCCATAACCAAATGCTCCCTTATCAACCTTGTGAAGTGTAGCAATGTAGTCGATATAGTACAAAGATGGGCCTGTCTCTTTGTCATAGCCAGCAAGAAGGATGTTCACAAAGTATGGATTCTGGAAAGACCAAATCAGTTATCGTTAACAACAGAAGTAAAAGAACAATCAGGTGAGCAGGAGAAAAAATTCAGCATTTGCTATGGCAAACAACAGAATTAAAAGGTGCATGTCTCATGCAAGAATGGAGATATATCTTAGGTGCATTCAAAAGTACTTACAAAAGCAACAAGAATGCATATACCTAGTGCAAATGCCAACTGCTTAAAACTGCAGATCAAATTTTGAATCACGTCTTATTGGATAAAATTTATTGTTGTAAAAGCAGATGACTTATCTAGAGCAAGGCTCAAGAGCAAACACTTTTGCATTATCTTTTCTTCATTAATTAGTCAGTTCATTCTGGTCAATCAAAGCTCGGAAAATTAACCTCACTGCTAAGAGTAAGAGATATATAGAGACAACAGAAGAAATAACTCTCTTTAATGCAAGATTCAAGGACCACAAAGACTGATAAGGAACTGAACACCAGCACGAAGCAGCTGACCAGACATAAAAGTAATTCAGACATGAAAAGGTTTTTTTTTTTTTTTGGCTCAAAGACATGAAAAGGAATTACATAGGCTCAGAGTCATCACACGAGCTGAAAAGGCAACAACATAATTTCATGTAACCTGAAAAACCTTAGCCCTTTCTAACATGATATTCCAAACCAAAAAAACCAGGATTAATGCCACAAAGCTTGACAAGATGTTCCATCAGAAACCACATCCGATTTAAATTGAAGTGAGGCACCAGTGGGTCATGGATTCATGCCATAAAAGCATCAACTCTACTTTCAATCTTAAATTAAGTTTACACAGAATTATAACTTTCTAGTACTAAAGATTCTAGCATAAACAAGCACAGGTAATTGTCTTGCAGAACACCGAAGAAACAATTGCCTAGCCTTGTTTAGTACATGTCCTTGATGCAAATGTTCTGATTACCAAGCTCCAAAACCACATCAATCATATATAGTACCAGGTTTAATTACATTTTTTTTTGCACTGAAAAATAAATATCTTTACAAAAATCTCATTCAAGAACATATGAAAATGGGAAACCACACCATTTTCACATGCTTCTAATACGTCACATAAAATCCCTAAATTGTACAGCTCAAAGGACAAACAAAAATTGGGAGTTTAAATGAAGACGATAGCCACTCAAATTGACTCAGCATCCAACAACTTTAAGCATCACAAACAAATACAGTGCTCAACATTAACTGTTTAGTTCAGCAGAGAAAATGTTTCCCAGCAAGTTCAGAACTTCCTATGGTTTAGCTAAGCACTCGATTCAACTCAACTGATCCCAAAAAGTAGTTGCTATTACCCACGAACCTCCCCAAAAATGGCTATAGTTTTATAACATATGCAGCTCTAAATAAAAGCACAATAAGAGTTTGCCTCTTTCCATGTAAGACTTTCAGCTTGATCATCATAGTTTAGCACTCATCAACAATGCTATATCTAGTACAATGGATTATGCAGTAAACAGAGCAAAGTAATTGCCACAAATTCTGGTAAAACAGGCGATAAAATCATATTAGACTACACCCACCCTTGAATACTTGAGAGCCTGGTAAAGGTTTACACTAATCAAACCCACCAAACCATTTCTACATTGGTCTAGAAAAATGGTTTCAGAACAAGTTATCTATGTCACAGGCTGAACAATTCTTCAAATATGCAAGACCGTGAGAGACATCAAGCAAAGCTAAAACGATTATAGCTAATATCGACTCCGACACAAAATGTCAACCTTTAACTAGTGTCAACTCTAAAATAACACTCTTCTTCCACATGGATTTATATTCTTCTTTGCCGCTAAAAGTTTAACAAGTAAATTGAAATTGAAAAGCTTTATAGAAATTCTACAAATTTTCAACTTAACAAATATTAAGGGATATGTAAAATTAGTTATAATTTCAAAACTAATAAAAACCTAATTATAAGTCAAACCCTAAATCGAAACTGTAAAAAAGGAATAAACTTTATACCTTCCTTAAGGCAGTGGCAAGCTCACCGCGAGTGAAATTAGCGGCGGCCGCAGTCGTCAAGGGAATACCGTTTCGAAACTGGTACAAAGCCACGTTTTTCTGGATATACTCCGTGAATTGCACTCTGATGAATTTTTTTTTAAAAATTTTATTAGAACGTGAAGATAAGGACATATATTCGTAGATTATACGGAGATTTAAAAAAAAAAAGATAGGGGGGAACCTGTCGCCGGATTCACCGCTAGCGGCGATGAGTTTGTGAGAATCGAGGATCATGATCTTGTCTTCGTTGGATTTGTGAACGAGGATGCTGTGAACCGCCGACGTGTCCGCCGCTACTATGGCGAAGCCATTGCCTACTAGACCGAACACGCACTCCATTCTTCCTTCGATCTGCTTCTGCTTTGATTTTTGAGGTTTTCCCTTCTGTTTCCTTTTTATTTTCTCTGTTCTCCGTATCTAAGTAGGAGCTGTCTTGAGGAAGAAGTTGTTCTACACTAGAAAACTGAGGAAGTTCGGGAAAAGAATGAGGGCAATTTGGTCATTGAAATATTTTTTGGGCTTATTAGCTGCATAATGGTCCGCACCAGCATGGTTCGTTCGTAAGCCTGTGGCTGGCCCAACATGGCCCATCGAAAACTGTAAAGGGCCTGACAATGCCCCGTTCTCCGCTAAAAAAGAAGGTTACTTTGACCAAAAAGGTCTCCTGCTTGACAATGGGGAACAAAGTAAGTGCATTGCTGGTCATCTGCCTTGTTCTTGTAGCCGCCGTCCGGTTGGCTACTGCCGCAGCCCAGGACGCATTTTCCACGACTGCGAAAAGGAATGCCAAGCTGGTTGAGGAAGCAGTACCTTCTGCGAGATGAAGTGTGACACCGATTGCTTCGACAAGAGCGTTGCAGGTAATTTAAATTTCACCTTCTTTTCATATGTTTTAACATAAGTTCCTTCATATTTGCTTATATCTATTACTAATCCTTGAATGTATTTGTATTTGTTGCAGAAAAACTTTATAATCTCTACGGTTGAACAAGGCATACTTGGTGGATGCATGGCTGGCGCCCTCCCTGAAAAGAAAGCACCTGCAGCAGCAACAATGATGGAAGATTCGTATAAATCATCTTTTTATTATACGTAATGACCTCCCTATCTACCAAGCGATCTTCGTCCTTCAATCCTTTTCCACCTCATTGTACTCTTGATTTCTGCATGGAGTTAATGTACATATTCATACATTTGTGTTTACATTCGAGAAAAAAAGAGTAACATTAGGAACTAAGCATCAGGGGATTTCCCAAAACTTAAAACTATCTAAATAAGATTCAAAGTTTGTCTCCCTAAACTTAAAATCAACAAAGGGAAAAAACAAATTAGCTAGAGTTACATACTCGTACATTTACTTCAATATTGCAGAGGTATATATTACACTTGGAAACAGTCCATTCTGATAAAGGTTTAACCTGGTGACCACTCAAATTAATGCCATGAATATAAACAATTGTTTTGCCATGAACAGAGCTGTAAGCTTTCCACAGGGAGAAAAAACCAAAAGCTATGCGATACACATGCCCTTCATAGCTGGGTCATAGTCTGCATTTACCCTTGGTGTCATACCCTTTGTCTGCACATAGCAGAAGCAATAATAACGCTAACAAACTAGAATTTCAGCAGGTGAAAATGTGAAACAATAAATCCAGGAGGTCTGACTCTACTTATTATTAGAAATTTTTCTAACCAAATAAAGTTAGTGCTGAAAAAAACGGAATGTTAGAAGTATAAAGAGAAAAATGAAGAATAAGAAATTGGCCTTCTACTGCTGCAAGAAAGAATTTGGGGAGCTGTTGGAAGGAACATGCTTCAAAGAAATCCTTGCACCTTGTCTTGAATATCATTGCTATGATAATTAAATTTTATAAGGAGTAAGGTTTTCAGAGGTTGAAACTTAGGCTGGTAGTTAAAATGAAAATGAAGTATTGAAAATGTTGGTGTAGATTATGAAAAAAAAAAAGTACAGTAATAATGGTCTTTTTTAAAATAGATTCATCTGGAAAGTATTATCCATTGAACCCTTTCTACCAAACAAACTGAATAATCATTAATGGCATTAATTTGACAGGTGTCAGTACCCTAAAATAACTAGTCTCCAACTCAAGAAACAATTGGCTCCCTTGGGAACGTATTGAGATTAAACAAATTATATAAATTTTTATTAATGTTGTTGCAATCATAGGTTTTACACAAGAGTCATAGTCCTATTAAGAGGAGGACGACCAGGACATTGGGGTGGAGGTGGTGGGTTACAAGGGGCACCATGGGAGAAATAGCAGACGCATTCGTCAAAGGGAATCCCTCCACCAGCAGGCCGGCAGAAGGCGGTGATCTGCCCGATGCCACGGTAGCAGGGACGGCATGTTTCAAGGCACTTATCCTTGTCCGGACAACCACCACCCCTTACAGCTAGTTGACAGTCTCCATTCACCTTCGGAACCACGTTTTTGACTGCACAAAACAACAAACAAAAAGAACAACATCAACAAGGAGTGAAAAACAAAGTTGAATGCTTAGTTTTCACTGCTTTGTACCCTTTTTTTTTTTGTGTACAAACCTGAAATGAAAATAAGGAGTACCAGAAGGAAGTGAAAGGAAGCAGAGGGTCTGGCCATGCTCATTTTTTTTTTTAACAAACTGTTAAAAGAGAAAGAGAAGTTAATATGAAATAGGCTTTTACTTCGGTGCATTTATTTATAGGTGGAGAGTTTTGGTCTTTGGCTCAAGAAATTGTGAAGGTTTGGAATGGCCATTAATACAGCAATATTCTTTTATGGATCCTCATATCTGTAGAATCTCTTAGCATTAAAATCCTGTACAGGATACATTTAAATACACAACTTTTGATTCTTTACAATTGAAAGGGCATTTCCATTTAATAATTGATTAACTTTCTCATCCAAATGAAATGATTTGCGTCTAATAGGCCTTTCATCTATTGAATTGTTGATATAGTTGTTCATGTATTATGTATGACATCTTTGTTCAAGTGAACAAAGAAAAAGGAAATTCTAATTCATAAAGAAAGGGTTACAAAAATTAAGCAGTCTAAACGAGTACTTCGGCTAAACATTGTGACACTAGCCATCCAACTTTGGACAACAATTAGGAAAACGGAGATATCCCTGGTCTTTTATTCATTAACTTGGAAAGATAACAACTCTCATTACATTGAAAGTTCACTAGCTCAAAAACAAGGTTAGAACAAGACAAAAGCAAACTCTCTCCTCTTTACATAGGCCAACTTATTTATTGCGTTACAGGCCTCTGGATGTCTGATACAAAAGTAGAAGCAGCTGCTTAGAACAAGCGGGCAAAGTCCATAATTGAGGCCAAGGGATTGCCCCTCCTTTCATCTCCACGCTGCCTCTGTTGAGAGAAAGACATGAAATACGACTCATCCGGGTTGTTGAATATATCATCTACCAATTTCGATGGCACCCCAAATGATAACTCCTTTGCCTCGCTATCCATTTGTCTGACCATGTTCTTTTTCCCTATAGAATCAAACAAGAACCAATTGATCAGTTAATAAGCTGAGGCTTTTACAGTGAATTTGATGACATTTGTGTTTTGCTTGTGATTCAGAAAAATAGGCCTACCTGCAAGGAAAATTCTCTGGTTGTTCTGGGCGTTGAGTCCAAACGCAACTGCATTCAGTGGCTGGTCTTTGGATGCAAAGAACGTAACTGCATGGCCTGCCGGAACTACAAAGATGTCACCAGGTGACAATGGGGTTTTGACCTGCTCGTATTCTCCAATTGTCTCATCTTCTGACTCTTCTTCTTCTTGTTCTCTTCTGTCTTGCCTTCCACTTTGGGATCCCTGGCTCTGTCTGGAGAGATGAGGGCAAGCCATTTCAACGTACCCATATCCGTCCGTGATAAGCACCAAAAATGTGGTCTTAGAATTGTAGTGTGGCACAAATATTGCTCCCTGCAAAAGGATTCATGAGCATGCATTCATGAAGCTAATCTGGTAGTAGTATGAGTAGGCAAGAGAAAGATTTTAATGAAATTATTGAAAAAAATAATTTGATTTTAAGTACCGGATTCAGTTTGATGGCTGCAACAGCGACATCCATGTTCTGAAATTGACTGAAGGCCTCAGGACAAACCTCAAAGAAGCGTCCGTTTCGGTTGGAGTAGACAGGCGATTGGCTAAATAGATTGACGGCAAGACTCTCCCCGCCTCTCTGCCCTGGCGAAGTAGCTTGTTGGCTCAGTGCTCTTATCTGCTCTGGTTTGGCTCTCCGGAACATACCCTGCTGCCCCTCCTGCCCTCTCTGTTCCTCAAAGATCTTCTCCAGCTTCTCTCTTTGTGTCTAACAAACGAGATAAAAATGAATAAATAAATAAATAAGTAAAAGACAAGAGAAAGTAAAAACAAAAAATTGGTTCATAGCTAGTCAAAGAACCATTTACATTGAAGACGGCCTCAAGAACTTCATAGCTGAAGGCTCTGTAATATGACTCAGGTTTATTATTTCCAGCGGGGAAGAATACCTGCAGCAATTATAAGTACGTGGTCAATAGACTAACCAAGACATCAAGGATATGTAGAAACTTATAATAAATAAATGTTAAAGTAGAAAACCTCATATTTGCCAGGAGTATTAACAGGCAGGGCGAGCACGGCTATGGTTAGCTTCTCTTGTTTGTCTTGGTTAACCACGTAAACAGTGCATGCTGCAGGAACGCTGACTGCAGTTCCACGCTGTACATTATAGGACTCCTTGTTTTCATGAGTCACAAACGTAATTGTCCCCTTTCCTGACACACAAATAATTTACCATGTTTTCAATCAATGATGATTTGGTGAAAGAAGCCGCAAAATTTTGTTCAAAAGGGAAGAGAATTTACCCTTTGTCACGAAGTAAATTGCCTCAGCATCAGAGTGGTGTGGAAGAACAAAAGTGTTGGGATTTGCTTCGAAAATGGCGAAGCGGTAATCGTTGATGCCCTTGAGTGGACTAGAGTTCTCAGCAAACCTCTGGAGGATCTTGAAGTTGCCCTCTTCATCCCTGAATCGAGTTTGGAATGATCTTCTTTTAGGAAAATAGTAAGGATTGTTTCTTTGTTGCCCTTCTTCTTCTTCTTCGCTCCTGCTTTGTTTTAGATGATGGTAATTCTCGTGCTCGCCTCTCTCTTGTTCCTTATATTGCTCCCAGCATTTTCGCTGGCACTGCTGCTGCTCTCTCTGCCCCTGTTGTTTCTGGTCACACCGTTCTTGACACTCCTCGTATTTCCTCTGAGGATCACTCTCATATTGTTTTCTGCCATGGGCGCTGACACCAGAACAGAGCAACCCAAAAGAAAGGAGAAGAGAGAAGACCAAAGCTATGAAAGGAGACTTACTGATCACCATATTTGCTATACTTTTGAGCTGTGTTTTCTTCTTGGTGATAAGAGCAAAGAGAGGCAACGTTTTTATAGAAGGCGGAGGCTAAGCTCTTGCATGCAAATCTCCATCTACGTGTTGAAGACATTGGCATGCAAGGTGACGAGTGTGCAAATTAACAGGACGAATACTTTGAATCCTTTTCTTAAGATGGGGAAACTATCGAGACGCAACATCCCTTCACGTGGTACAGGCAGGGTCCGAACAAGCATTGGCGCCATGAAATTATCGGTCGCATCTGTAACTAGATGTAGCGAAGTGATGGTGCTTGACAGCAGAGCTGCTCGGTCAATTTTGTTTTTGTGCGTTAACTTAGTTGAGTTAAAGAGTGGGAATTGGATGTGTCAAGGCGAATTAGGAATGCGTTTCATTGAGTTGGATTGGACGTAACACGAGTTAAGATTGAGTTGATAATGATCTGCACTCTGCAGAATCTACAGCTCATGTTGTACACCTGTTGGCGTGCATGCCGATGAGTTGCAAGGATATGATATGAACAAATTTTGACGCAATTTTTCTTATTTTCCTCGATTTAAATGGAGAAATATATATTTTTCCCATTAGAGTAGTGACCCATTTTTTCTCTTTTTGTAGCCTGATGATTTCAGAACATTTTGAGTTTCTTCAAGACAAAAATATTAATGAAAAAATATAAGAAATAACTTCATGATAAAGTGATTTTAAAAATAATTTAAGATATAAAGGAAATTGTTTTTATTCAATTTTTAGCATAAGTTGATTAAAATGCCCTTAAATACATTTGTAGTAAATTAATCTCTCAATATCTCTCTTTCGATATATGAAATAATTAAAGAGAAAATTGTAAGAAATGATCATGTTGATAACTCAATTTCAAAATAGCTCTCAAAATAAAGTTTTTATTTTTTATAATTGAGAGAGAGGGATTCGGACCTTACTATTTTAAGCAACAATTAACCAAATACTCAGGTGCAGCTCTCAAAATAAAGTTAATTGTTTTTACTTATATTTAGTCATAACTAGATAAAAATACTCTTAAAACTATTTCAAATAAATTAAACCATTTCTCACAATTTCTCTCATCTCTGTCTATGCTTTCAATTTCTCTCTCTTACTATCCAACTCTCTTTAATTTTATCGATTTATTTCTTCGGCATCTGTCTACTGTGCTCTTGATTTTTCTTTCTCGTGCTTTTATGATGCCGAGTGATGGTTTTGATGTACTTGGAGTGGGTGACTATTTAAGAAATTAGATTTTTAGGTGTTTTTGGATGAAACTAAATTGATAAAATTGATCACATATGTTTGAAATAGTTTATACTTAAATCAATTCGAGATCTAAATATCAATATTTATAAACCCAAGATTTCAATGGGAATTTTTTTTTTCAGTCAAAAGACAAAGAAAATTATGTTTTGATTTATGAAAACATATTATAAATACTTAAATCAGTACCAAATGGTCAAAAAAATAAAAAAAAATGAAAAGAGTTAAGAGGGTTTAAAGTTTTAGTTCGCAAGTAGTAATAACATTTTAAGAATTAAAGTGTAAAAAAAATTTTTGAACATGACGTATAATAATAATATTTTTTTAATATGACATGTAACTTGTTTTTGTACATGAGGTGTAACAATAATATTTTTTTTAATATGACATATAACAACTTTTTTTAATGACTTATAACATGTTTTTATGTATAATATGTAACAATAATATTTTTTTAACATGACGTATAACATCATGTGCATGGCATGTGATATTATGTGCACTTGAATATGAAGAGGTTTCATTAATAGTAATTTTATTCAACTTGATTAAAAATAATTAAAATTATAAAAAAAACTATTTTTGAAAACATTTTTATCATCTTTTAAAGTGCCCTATTAACAATAATTACTTATTCAATTCTTACACACTTTATCCTAATTTACTACATTGACTAATATTTAACATTATGGTAACTTTTATACATAGAATTTTGATATCAAGACTTTATAAATTGCTCAAGCATGCATTTAAATTCAGGATGAGAAATAATTAAGTAAATTATTGCCACTAGATATTTTCTTCTTTTTAATCTTAAAAAAAAATATTTTCTTCTTTCTACATATTCAATTACCTAATACATCAAATGAACATAGGTCAAAAGACTCAATTTTCACCAATAATTCATATGAAAAAAAAAAATGCCATTTCAACTTGAACATGCAAAAAATGCAAAACAAAGTGTACAAAACACCCTTCAAGTCTCCCAAAACTCACTACTTTTCACATCTAAACAAACTATTAAAACAAATCTAAAAACAGAAAGGCACTAGTAGGATTATAACTAGGGGAAAGGGAAATGCTTTTAATAAAAAAAAACTTATCTAAATAAAATATTAAAACTTATTTAAATTATTTAAAATTTTGTTTTAGCTAAGCTTATCAATTAATCAGTTTGAATTTTTCTAATTTAATTTTTCAGTAATCATTTTTAATAACAAACCACATAAATTTAACTTAAAAAACTTTATCCAAATCTTTTTTAAAAAGTCAGTTATCTATTTTTCTTAAGTATTTTCCTTCTTTTTTTTTTGTGGTATTACTAATTTTGAATACTTGATGAATTTGATATTTTAATTAAAGAGATGATCAAGTGGTGGGAGGAAATGATATTTCCATTAAAAAGGTAATAATTTTTTTAAAAAAATTAGGATATATTTACACAATCAATAAAAAAAAAATTGCCCCTGCATGCAACAAGGCAGGGAAAGTTCTATCCAGTTACTATATTACTCACTACGTAAACCAAATCCTACTACCCAGAACTGAGAATTCCATTGCCGACTTGGATAAGAACACTAGTAAATAGCTGATCTCTTCTCGCATTTGTCTCAACATTGTCTTCAAGAGTCCATGAAGTTAAAAACCCGTAGTTTCTATATTATCCTTCTTGCCAAACACAAGCTTAATTTCTTTGATCTTTTATTCCTTGTAACTTCTTTTCACTAGAAACCCTAGCAACCCCATTTTCAAAGAAAAACAACCCTAAAAGTTGTTTAAGCAATGGCTTCAGACGTTTTGCTCTATCATCAAGCCAAGAAGAAAAAACGGGTCGGTTTAATCGGGTCATGCCTATATAAAATATGCAACAGCGGGAAGCAGCCAGCAATGGCGGTTCCGAGAAAGGACCATCCATGGAAGAGGATTATATTTACTTTGGGGTCACCGGAGAGAGAGATGAAGGGTTTGGGGTTTTCCTTCTTGCTTGTTCCTTGTGCAAGAAGAACACTTTGGAGTTTGAATTTCTCAAAAACCTAATTAAATTAAAAATTAAAATAGACAAGTCGTTTTAGAAATATAAAATGATATACCTGTTAAACGGGAATATGATGCTGCTTCCATTTCTTACTTCATGCTTGAGGAACGGTTTTCGATATAGAATACTTTGGGTTGTTTTCAAACCCTAAATTTAAAATCCAAGGTTGTTTTCATGTTCTTCATGTTCCTTAAGATTGTTTGAATGTCTCTTGTCATCTTAATTTGTTGCTCCTTAAGCATGTAATTGACCTTTCCTGTGTCTTGAATTTGACTGTGTACTTTGGCTCAATTTGTGGTTTACAAATTTCTTTTCTTCCTTAGCTTAGTCAACCGGAGATTTCATTGAGTATCAAGGATTGGTACAACTTCTGATCAACCAAAGGGATATCAGATTAGAAACAAACAAAAACAAGCCTTCAAAGGAACAGTTAGACAAAGTAAAAAGCAAAGCACCATAGCAAAACAGCCACCTGAGGAAATAGAGAGAATAGGACAGTCAGAGCTGAACCGAAGCAGATGCTCATGTAGGAGTGAGAGCACCTCGAAGCAGACAGATGAAGTTAGACCAAAACAGCAGAATTGTGAAACAAGTAAAGAAACATGAACCTGCCACAATCATCAGTACTGCAGTCTTGAGCGTATTCGAATAAAGCCTGGAAGTCATGCCAAAGTCTCCAGAACAACTAAGCAGGCTCTAACAAACCCAGAAGCCATAGCCACCAACAGATCCAGAAGCAGCCAGAACAGATGTAACCAGCTAAAATTAATTCAGACACAATCAAGGGATTCCACCAATAAATTAGACTTAACAGGTTTAAACCAACCTGGACCAGCTAACAATTCATCCCGAGGTGTGCAGAAATTACCAATACGCAAAAAACATCTTTGAAATATTAACTCCGAACTTGGTGAGAGCGTCTTCGAGGATATATGTTTGCTTCTCGAGATGTGTGTACAAAAACGTTATCCTTAATAAGAATCCATAAGCTGTCAGTATTGTTAAAGATGTGTCATTTATCTCAAGATCTTAACTTTTCATCACAAACCCAAGATAATGTTAGGAGTTGCATTCGAGGATCAATCTTTTCGTTCCTACCAATAGGGAGGAGGCGAACAATTGTATTGCGAAGTTGCATTGGATACCCAACGAACTAAAGAAAATACCAATAACATACCCATTCCAGTCTTTTAACGCTCTTCCAAGACCTGCCAATCTTGACTTGCCTTTGATTGAACAAAGGCTTCAATAAAGTTAGGGGAAGTCCAATATATTTCTTTTGCTCAATCAGCTGATACATCATATGAAGCACCAAAAAATGGTAGAAAGCCAGATCATTCACAGAGGTAGACGTTACGGACGCGATATAGTGAAAACAACAAACCACCATGTCCGGCACCTGATTGGCTGGCATACAAAGACACCTTAAGCAAACCCAGATTACAGCAAACAAGTAACCTGATAACATTACTTTCTGACTATGAACACCGGTTAGCGCATTAACAAGCAAGTCAACTTAACAAATCTAACTTTTTCATGGCTTCTTATGTTCCGAAATGCAAAAACTCTCACTAAAAGTACAGCTTATAAAATTGCCATCTGCTTTCTGTATCTGAGGCCATCAAAACAATCACAATTCTTCTATATCTTCACTATTGTTAATTACTGAGATAATGGTATATTTGTAATTAGTTAACCATAAGTGAGAAAAGTTGGGAGATTAGTAGATGAGATGTACAAATTGAGGTGAACCTTATTTTCTCTGTTTTCTCACACACTGTTGACAGGAATGCTTCATTAATTATAAGCATTTTTTCTTTACTTGTTTTAGGACCACAAAAAATTATTGAATTTTGTACTGATTGCAATGAAACTTGTTTGATGCAGATATCTAGGCGCATTCTAGTCCCCTGATTACCGAGATGATCAGACTGCTTTGGACGGAATAGACACTAAGGAGGCTTTGAAAGTGCCAATAAGAACGGTACCCTCAAAGAGGTTCTGAGGCAGAAATTTCACCCTCAAGGCAGATCAAATGCTGCTGCTGCTATGTATTTTGTTATCAGAAAAGTTTGTTGGCTTACTTCAGAGATGCAAGGCTGTTGGATTTGTGGCATTCAGCTCATACAGTAATAGAGGAACATGGCATTTGTAATTTTCATCCGTACTCTAGTTAAGTTTTACTAGTATTGCTTTTCCAAAAGTTTCTGATATGCATAAACACAACTACATAAGGTCTGATACACTACTTATGATCTCATGAAGGCATGCTTGCTTAAAACAGCCTTAATGTTATTGACCTCATTGTACTCTCTCAGATGCTTGCTGAGCTCATGCTGGTTGAGATTTTAGGGATTTGTGTGTGCGCATAATCATCACATGAAAAAGAGGAGAGGATTTTGGAGAGATTATAATCTTTGTAAGGTTTTATATCAGATGAAGTAAAAAGAACTTACATCCCTTTAAGCGAGAAGAAATTGTAGGAAATAAAAGGAGCCTTAGACAGGATTTAGCAGCCTTGTCTGCTAGCTGAATAGCAGTACCTTCCCTAATAGCAGAAGAATAAGACCTATTCATTGGTATGGTCTGCATTGCAGAGACAAAAAGGAGCATGCTTTTGCCAGCCATTGTTGCTTTCACTCCCCACTCACAAAAGGGTGCCTCAGATTATGACCAAAAATTCAAACCATAGCATGGTCTGAGCCATGGCAGATTATATATGTTTTAACTTCTAAACCTAGGATTAAGATATAGAGTAATTGAGTCAGCAAAACAGGACAACCAGACTAATAGCTATATACTTTAAGATTTGGAAAACAAGAAACTGTAATCGGTTGCTTCAACACAGCAAAAGATGAAAGCTGAACAGCAATATCTTCAGAAGGAAAAGAGCCTCAAAATCATGACTTGCCCACGTAATTGTCAGATATGTAAACTGTCATGTTCTTTTCAAATATATTGTTCACCTCAGAGAAAAAGGAGGAGCAATGGACCTACTTTTTTTCAGTGTGTGACTTGCAGACTTCTCATCCTTTACCATAAGCTTGAATATTTTAACAATGATTTGCAGTGCACCCAACCAAAGTTTACCTCTCAGGTTAATTAAAAGACATGCTGGTTTTTCGTCTTCATTGTTGCACATGAACAGTTGGGACTGTTTGATTGAGTCAGTTCATCATGCTGAACAATAAGTAATTATAAAGCTGCAGATTATTCCCTTTTATCATAAACAAAATGCGACTGGGACAGAAAAGAAAATTAAAGGCTTGATTGGCAAGGGTTCACCAAGCAGGCAGCCAAGAACAATGTACATAATCAAACAGAGAAATTTACATAAGCAGATTAGACTAAAAAAATTCTAGATCCAGGAAATGGTTTTGTGTAATGAATTACATCAAAACCAAGAAAAGTAAAAAAGGGGACCAACCTTGTCCATTTGTGTATTATAGAAATGTCCCAATCACTATTCCAGGGATTGTTTCTTTGGAGTGATTCTGCCTGAAACTGGGGACCAGTCTCAAATAACAGAGGCACCAGCAAGATATCAGCTTAAGGAGAAGAAACAGGAATTTTTATGTGACAATTATAGTAATTATACGGCAACAACAAATCTGTCTCAGGAGCCTCGGAATAGATAAAAGAAAAAGGGTGAGCAGAAAAGAGAAACGGATGATGAGTTTCTCCTTTTCCTTCCCATTCCAAGCGACTTCATTCTCATTATATATTAGTTCCTTTTAATAACTGAATCATAAAAAACGAAACTAGATTTTTCATATATCAGTCAGAATGTGACAATTGATATGTATTTTGAACTTTGAATGATCAAGTATCTTTGTTTCAAGCTTCAATTATGTGTTTCCTAAAGAATCCATCCCTCCAATAAAGCTAGTTAATATACTTCATTTTTTCCCCCTCTTTTGCTCAAGATTTACACAGAATGATGGGGAGACAGCATATATCAGTGGCAGCTAATATGGTGTCCTCTCTAGAATACAATTTTGAGCTAACTGAAAGTCTACCATGGCCAGAGAAATAAAGGTGAAAGTTTTGCTAGTCCTTTTCCACACTAAAATATATAGTCATACACATTCTGTGGCCTCTTTGCTTGTCTCTGGCAATTTATATATATTTTCCAAATGGTCCTAAGTCATGCACGTAGCCATCTGAATTGTACTATAAGATCCAAGCTTAGTGAGCTTCTCCAAAAAGCTATAGAATTAATGCTTTCTATTGAAGAAACAGAGGGCAGAATCTGATGGAATGATGGTAAGTTGGTTGAGTTAGACCACTGAACATCCGACCAGAAGGCAACCCTTCATTCTTGAGTGTACTGTGTCCAGCCAAATTGATGACTAATAAGGTTCCCGCTTTGGTAGCTTTGAACGTATCTTTTCTTTCTCTGTTGTTTTCTTATTCTTTTTTGGCCCCGTTCTTTGACCATATCTGGAATGGGGAGCACATACATTTGCAGACCATTTGCCCCTCTTCCTTTTATTTTATTATCTTATTATGGGCTTTATGGATTTAAAGTTGGAAGTTAAATCTCCTTTTGGAAAGTAAAGTACGACAATTATATGGGTTTTGCCTCTATTACTAGGCATACTATTTCCATTTGATGACAGAGGCAGGAGCTCTCTCTTTTGTTCCGGGGACATTGGGAAGGCGTGCAGGGTAAGAAGGTGAGTCCATGTTTTCGCACAAGCATTGTTGAAGGGATTATATAAGCCATGCTCCCACTTTTTCTTTTGGTAAGAAGGCCAACAAGGCCATATTCTAATATTCCCACACTTGTTTTACTTTCTCTGCACTCCACACAGGTAAGAACAAACTAATGATCTGGTGCACGCAGCAGAGGACAAAGGTGAACATAAAAATAAAAAACTCTTTCGAAAGAGAAGTCTCTTAATCGTGGCTTCCATTAAACCTGCCAAGCCTGCAAAAACTGTCTGGTGCTTTTTCTGGTCTGCTGCTCACACCACGGTAGAAAAAGAAAAGTGAAGGGCAGTGCAGCTGTTAGATTATCAAGGAAACAACCTTTTTCCAGTAATATCATTAGCAAAAGCAGTGGGAGAAAAGAAGCATTCTGGTTTCTATTATAATTTCCTCTTTTTTTTTTTTTGGTTCTTCTTTCTTTTACATTTCCTCTATCACTTTGGTAATGAGTATCCATCAAACCTTTACTTCTCTTTGCATTTAAAACAAAAAGTAGCCTAATGATTACATTGACCATACTTCACCGTCTTTAGCTCATCAAAAAATTCCCTAAAACTAACAAATGAATCATCATGAATAAAACAATCTTCAAGTACCCACTTTGGCAGTTCCTGATAGTGCAAGTTCAGCCTGCAAAACCCACAAAAAGCTCTATCATTATCACATAAGCTAATTTTTAATTTTAAGTAAAGAAGCAATCACCAGTTATGAAAAGAATACTACCTAATCATTGTGAAGAATTATCAATACTCGTACGGAGCTTTGAGATGCCATAGAAGAGGTTGTTTGTTAATCAATTAACTTATTTCTGCGTTGTTCTGAGACTGGTTTGTTGTAAAGCTAACAGTGTTATGATTGAGGAGGCGGAATTAGTCGATGGGTGGAGTTAGTTAACCAATCAATTACAAAATTTACACCTGATCAGGAAAACATTGACACAAGATTAGTCGAAGTGACCATAAGTAGCAAAAACAGTAAAAATAAAAAGGGTAAAGAAAAAAAGAGAGGAGGACCAACCTTTTTTGGTCAGTGGGCAACGGAACGTCTCCATCACCCTTAAGAATGAATGTCCTCAAAGTGATTCCTACCTGCATATTGGGACCAAAATTCTACTTAAAATTAAGAATAAGGCAATGGCTATTCTCGAGAAAAATTACAAAGGGGAAAGAGAACAAAGATATCAAACACTTTCATTATATGCCAGGTACATTTTCTTTTTCAGAGCTGGGTTTCATATAGATTCACATAATCCATTAGCTAAGTGACCAAAAGCTAGAGGCCTGATTAAGTTTTTTGGAAGATACGTTGAGGGTATCTCCTCCTTGTTTAAAAGCTATTGAAGTCAATGGCTAAGCCCAAAGACCACAAGCACAAAGGAGCCTAGACAAACTTGATGCACGAGACACAGAAAAAAATGTTAAAAAAAAAAGCTCGACAGGGATTACCTTATTGATTCAGAAAGTCCATTATTGCTGATATGCAGAAGCAGGTTGAAATCTCTCCAAAAGATACTTACAGTCCTGGTTGTAAACCATAGGAATCACTTAGGAATGGAAAAAGACAAATATTTGCAAATAAGAATAGGCATTCATATCATTCCTTCACTGAATAGTTTGACAATATTGAAACAAGACAACTAAAGCAAAGTTCATGAACCATCAAAGAATGTGCAAACTTAGAGAGAGAGAGCATACTTTAGAATGTGGGTCATAACCATTCCCTCATCCTTCAGAAAAAATTTAGTTCAGTGTATCCATGTGCATATGGCAAAAGCTCCTCTACCTCAATCCTTGAACTAGAGTAACTCATGCTTTTCTTCAATCGGCCATGACTTGATTCAACCTCAGCCCAAAATATACCATAAACTGGTCTGTGATCTGAAAACCTAGATTCACCACGGACATAAGATAATTGGTGGAGGCCTTCTCCGTACCACAATATCCGGTCACACCTTTGTAGAAAAATGTTAAATTAAGTCAGTAGTGGTTAAAATGTAAGATAAAAAACAAACACCAAAAAGGAGACAGGGGAAGGGAGACTAACTGCTTTTAATAACCCAATTTTCTTGACCACACTATCATTTCGTTTTGCATCAAAGCTTTATACTGCCTTATGGCAGGAAGCAAATTCTTACCAGGCAGGAGTTCGCCGTTTCTCCTTTGGGTGCATATCATCCCCTGCATATCTGTCAGAATTAGTTGAATATTTGTATGTTGGTGGGAAGTAAATCTTGCCTTCATTCCATCCCACAAAAACACGCCCTCTTTTCTGTTCTATCCTTAACTGCCAAGAAAATAATCAATGCAAGGTTTTCTTATTAACTTTGACAGTAAAATCTTATGATATGTATCTCACACCTGTAAAGAAACTTACGGAGTTCTTTAACAGGACAGTAAAGCATACCTGGTCATTTTCTAACAACGCCCTCCAGTTCTGCATCTCAACAAGTGCCTTGGCAGATCGGTACAAGAGGGCAATACGGTAGTTCAAATCCCCAAGCCAAATTATTCGACTGGATTATTATATAAATAGTCAGAGCATGCAAACAAAAAGCAGGTGAAGAACACAATCACCCAGAACAAGAAAATAGTAATAGTTTTTGCATATACAAGATGGATCCATTTTTATTATCAAGTTTTACAGTTAAATATGTTCATTGAAAATTGCAGCAGTCAGGCAGGGAGATGGGGAATTAAAAGAAGTTGAAGCACAATCAAATCATTTTAAGTCAAATATAAATAATGTTATAATAAACCAATTCAATTTATCATCAAATAATAAATGAGTTTATTTCTACCTGTTGTTTGAGATCTATTCTTGATCTACTTTTAAATTCCATTTTTCGTATTATGCATTTCTCATTCATTCAAGTAATTTAAAGTAAAAAAAGAGGATAAATGAAGGTAGATTAGCAAAGGCCTTACTCATGCTGAAGGATTGTTTCAGGGGACTTCTCATCAGCTGCATTATGAACCCGTGGAAACCTCGTCTTCTTAAGAATCTCCATGACATCAGAGTTCCTTCTTAGCTCATCACCCTCCTTTTGTCCCGAAGTTAAATGACTACAGATGAAGCAAAAGCTTGTTTGATGCACCAACATACTGACAGATATAGAACCCTGACAAACCAAGCCATATAGGCTAATAATAAGTGGTTCTCATTCTTGAGGGGAAGACAAGTAAATTATATGAAAAATAAAGTGAAAGACTACCATAATACAATCAAGTAATACCTTATTTCCGAGATAGCCCATCAATCCTCTGCCAACACAAGATACTTTCATGTTTTTAACATGATCTCTTAATTCACTTCTAACCCAAATTGTAAGAAATATGCCAACCATTTGCTTACTAGCCACTAAGCAGTACCTAGAATGCCCAGGCATCCTATATCCTTGTTCATTGGATGCTGATCCACCATAAGACATTGGAGAGTACAATACAGTACTTGGTGAATCTGCAATCCCATTATCATCATCTGAAGAGCCCCATCTGGAGTAATCACTAGGCCTGGAATAATCACTAGGCCTGGAGTAATCACTAGGCCTATTACCCCATCTATAACTGGAGTCATAGTCACTTGGCCTATGGCCAAATATTACCCGATCACAGACACTGAATCGCCTGTCAAGTCGTGGCTGTGAAATCGAGGGGTCATTGTCCATTCTCCAGCTGCTGGTTGTCTGAAATGATCGGCGATGAAAGAAGGATGAATTTTTCTGCCTAGATGACCCCTCAAAATCAGCATCCATCTCAACGATGGGCTGAGGAACAGGAGATGGTGTATAGCACCCCCCTCCTCCACTGGTTCCGGGAAGATTATTTAGAGTCTTTCTAATGAGAGACAACCATTTTTTGGCAGGACCATTGTCTTCTGCCCCCAAAATATTCCCAGCATTCAAAGGAACTATCTCTTGAAACCTGTAGGAAAACAAAAAGAAATTATCCTATAAGCAATGGATCTACAACAGAGTTTGGTAAGCAAGACATGAAGATCAAAACTGTCAAATATACCCAAGGACATATATATCTGCAGGAGGTGAAGCATGGAGCCAATCTTCTAGATTCAAGTTGCTAGGTGGAGATCTTCCAGCCACATTCCACGTAGCTACAAAAATGCTGCTCCAATTGAAAAGAGAAGAGCAGTTAGAACTGATACATCACAAAGGAATAAAAATAATGAAATAATACTTTATGAAATTTTAAAATAAAAGATACCTGTAATTTTGGACATCTATGATCCGAGGGTGATCAAGATTCATTCTCCCTCGCCGGCTTTGCTCTGTATTCTTACAAAATTTTTCTGCACATCAAAGTCACATTAGAAAATTAATAATAAGAATAATAATAATAAAGTCCTAAGGATAATTTCCTTTTAGAAACAGCCAAAAAAAATCCCCAAAAACTGGTGGTCTAAGGAACCTGTTTTACTCTTTTTAATCGTGCATGGCTCCCTTTCTGAGAAGCTAGTCCTGTATTCCACTTCACCTCCTAAAATTTGAAAAACAAAGAAAATCACTGTTAATACATAAGTAAGTTATATATACAAGTTATGAAACAAAGCAAAAATCTGCACCCAAAAGAAAAAAAGAAACAGAACAAAAGTTCAAAACAAAAACAGAAGATGCAAAGAAATATTCAATGATGCCTTGTGTGGCTGATGAGAAATTGGAAGGAGAAGGTATCAGATTCTTGAGTATAAACAGAATCCAGGAAAAGATAACCCTTCGATTAACCAAGTTATCCATGATAAGTTGGCATGTTCTAATTGGATAGAGGGAAAATGTTCTCTTTCCTTTTCTTTTCACAACGAAATGTTCTCTTTCCTTCATTTTTCACAGCAAAGAACCAGTCTTCTTCTCTGGCATGAAAGCTTGAGAACTATATCCGTATTTGATGAATACTAAGCAATCATTGTGAAATCCCAGAAAAAGGCTCAAGTTACCCACCTCCATAAACATGATCATCCGCTTGAAAGTCCTCAGTTTTGCTCTTGATATTGAACAATTTTCTGACCATTTTTTTGGACCATGAGAGCTACACCAAAATACAGCAAACACCCAAGAAAGGAAAACTAATCAGTTAACTTTAACAACCTCCAAACTTTACGTTTTTTCCCACAAATTTGAGTACAGAAAACCCGAAACAGAGAAAGAGGAAGGAAAAAAAAAAAACCTTGCTTTTCTTGGGTTTCCCATCTCTCATTGTTAGACTTCTACTTCATACAGCTCCTAATGTTACTCTTTACCGTTCCCCAAACTCCCAGCGTCGATTGTAATCACCAAAAAAAAAAAACTGCTACCAGAACCCCATAGGCAGGACTCTCCTTCCCCAATTTCTGGGCTTAATTTTTACTAAAGTAAAAACAAGCTGAGTTCGTTGTTCCCAGATAGTTAGCTGAAAAAAGCAAATGTCTTTATCTTCGCTTGCTCAAAATAAGGTTGAAGTTGAATCAAGGAGAAGAAAACAAGAAATGGGGTTGTCCTAGTATCCTCTCTTTAGTGTTAATATGTATATGAAAGCAAAGAAAGAAGCCATAACCCAGAAAATATGAAGCTACAACGACTAAAGAAAAAGAGAGAGAGATTGAGAAAGAGAGAGAAATAGAGACAGCACTTTAATGCGTGGAAGTGAGATGAGAAGGGGGAGATTCTTGAAGTAGAACAAGACAATGCGGCAGACATAAAGAAAGAGAAAGAAAGAGAGAAGAAAGTCTAGAGAGAGAAAGCTCATAAGAGACCAAGCAGCCCCCTCCCTTTCCTTGTTAAACAAAGAGAGCCTCGTTCTCAGTAAAACAGCAAAGTATCGAATTTGAACAGAATAAAGTGCAGCAGAGAGAGAGAGCCTCACTCAGTCAGACTCCCTAATGTCCTCTTTTTTTTTTTTTGTTTACTGAATAGTAATGTCTATATGTTTTTTAATTTATTTTGAAGGGGATTTAGTCTTTAGTCTGCAAAGGCTTTGGTTCCTCAAATCGCAGGGCAGTCCCAACATGATGGGGCAAGGGGGGCAAGGGGGCAATGTCGTTTTATTCTATGTATTGTTCTTTGAAACGACAAGGTCAAGTGAAGGGAAAGGCTGCCCCGGTCAGCGAAGTGTTTAAGGTGTGGTAAGAGATCTAGTATGCCCCCCACTGGCAGCTGTCTTTGTACCCCCTTCCCTCCCTTTCTCTAAAATCTCTTCCCAATTCTTGGTCTTCCATCAAAGTAAAAAAGCAGTTAAAGAAGGAAAAAGATAAAGGGGAATGTTGTGTAGTAGTACTACTACTGCATTTTGTTTCTGTCTCTTTCATCTCTCTCTCTTTCTCTTTGATTTTTTTTGTTTTGGATTTTATTCTTTTCTTGGGCATGAAAACTTGGAAAAATGTATTTGTATGTGTTGGTGTATTCACAAAGGCATTCTTCTCCTATATACAGTAGCTTAGAGCTTCAGGATTCTGCAAGAACTAGCGGTTTTCCAAGATTCCCCGGAAATAATTTCTTTTTCTCAACTTTTGAAGATGTGGGGAGCAATGAGCATGTGCAAGATTGGCTCTGCAGATTGATTAATTACAGGGGGTGAATGGGAAGGTGGTGTAGGGAATGTTGTTAACCAATCTGACTCTTTTGCCATTCAATCTAGGCTAGTGCCCTTGGAAACAAGGGCAACTGCACCCCGTCTTTAGGGTGGTGTTATTGTTCTTTCTTCTTTTCGCTACCCTAGTCCATAGAAGCTATATATCAAACTCCCTTTTCTGGCACCTGCACCATGACATTGATTAATGTGATTTTCAACCTTTTTCTCTTAAATTTTGGCTCCTTGTTGAGAGGGAGCGGAGTCTCTCCTTAGGTATGCTTAATTCAAAAGCCTCCGCCGTCCATGCTCGCCCCTCGGGCCTTCAACAGGCCTTTGACTAACTTAAACCTGAAAACTACCTAAATATGTAAAAGCAGTCAAACCATGGGCTAATTGAACCCCTTCAAATTTAGAATAAATGGCTTTGCTATTTTGACTAGTCTTGGCACATACAATTCTCCATTAAAAAGAGGAGGGCTGTCTGTTAACCTTTGTCCTGTTTCTCTGCCTCATGATTGTTGGGGCCTAAGCCAATCGATTAGCATCAAAATTTCATATACTATGTTTTCAAGGGTATGTTTTATTTATTGAGCTGACGGCGGAACATTCCATGTTGGGACACCATAAAAAGGGCCATCCCCAATTCCCAAACGGAAAAAAATGCTTTAAAACTTGTTCATCAGCCCTTCCACCAACCTCATAGTGAAGGCTTCTCTGGCATCATAGACCAATTGTCCCACAATTAAGGATTAGTAAGAGATTGTTTAAAGGTGTCTAGGGTCATGGTTATCTAGAATAGGAATAGCTCCAGGTGTCCCATAACCCACTGAAACTTGTTTCTAATCCCTTCTCTCCCCTGCAAACAAAGGTACATCACTTGGAGTTAAATAGGGTTTTATTAAGTTTTTTAGGGTTCAGCTTAGTCACCTTTGATGAAGTCAGGTGGGTTTTTTTTTTTTTCTTTTTTGGATGGAAAAAAAATTGACATATAACAACCTCCAAATCAAACATAAATTGCTAATTAATATGGACAACGAAAGCAAAAGTCCCATTATCAAATTAATCACTTTTTATTTAATTTGTTTAAAAGCCTCGTATATCTAAGAATTATATTGTATACATAAATACGCCTACAGGCCAACAAAACAAACACTTCAAATAAATGAAATTAAATATTAAAACAAATGTTGCTTTGATGTAATCTTTTATGTCAAACCAAATGAACACATGGCTACCGAATTATCTCAAATTTAAAAAAAAATAGTCAAAGGAAAAAAGAAATATATAGAATTTTACCTTCAACTGGCAATGAACCACATAGAATGCCTCTACCTCACAAAATGTTTCTAAACATGAATAATGAGTGGACTTCCATTTGTTTCAAATAAAGGTTATCTAATCAGCATAAAATCAATTGCCTAGATGAAATGGGATGTGATGTGTTTTGTTTTTTTTTCTTTTTCTATGAAATTTAGAACATGTTTTGGTGTTTTCCCTGTTTTATTGTGGGTCTCTTTGGGAATCATTTGAAGCAATAAGGAGAAAAAGTAAAAGATTGAATAATACAAAGAGACTTGTAAAGTGAAAACTTGTATCAAAGGAAAAAATAAAATGGGCCATGTTTTTGGTATTTGGATATCTAAAGGGCAAAGGAAGTGACCCTGCTTTTGGAAATATTCTTTTTTCTTTTCTTTTCCCTTTTTTTTTTTTTTACATTGACAACTTGAGCTTGATGATCCATCTATTCCTTTCCAGATGCCAGGATGGTATCTAAGAGACCAGCTTCTTTTGGATTCAAGAAAAACATGATGAAAGAGGAAGTTGGATGCCCATTTTTTCTTCCTGCCTCATTGTATGGAGGACAAAAGGGAATATTTGACTAGTATCACTTTTCTTCATTAATTAGCTTTGTTTGTGTACAAATGAATATACCAGTTAAAGAAAATCATTTAACCGGATAATATTTGATACCCGTATACGTATTAATTTCAATGTTTAAAATTCAGAAAAAATAAAAAAAAATTGTTTTACAAAATTAGATAGAAATTTTTAAATCAAATTCATGAAATTCTTTATGGAAAATAAAATGAAGAATAAACAAGGGATTCATCACTTGAGCTTAGCTAAATGAATCTTTGTGTGATTCATGTAAAAGAAGAATGGGTCCAATTTTGTTGTGAAAGTAGGACATGCAAACCTCTATGGTTGAACCAGGAGAAGCCCTGCCCTACATTTACAATCAAGGATTTTGAGATCTCCATCCATTTTGCAGGCTAAGGGAGCCCCTCCTCTCAGATGAGTTCCATCAATGGGGTATCTAAGGAAACACAGAATTTATGTATTCAACAAAGTCATTATTGAACAATTCATGATTCCCCAAATAAATCTTTTGCCTAAGAAAAATAGTGTTAAAGATGCTACCTCATGAAAGAGAATCTTAGTATTGTGAGTTGACTATAAATCAAATGCAAATAACACCTGAACCATATAAATCATTGATGGACTGCAAATCTTAAGAATCCTTTCCTCCATTGGAAACTTTGGGCACAACAAAATATACAAGACATATGAAGATAGATACAAAAATAGAAATAATATATATGTAATAATAGTTCAGCTGTCTTTATGACATATGCATGGTTCTGTACATGATAGATTTTTTTTTTCCATACTTAATTTGTCAATAAAAAGTACTGTGCCATTGACATTTAGGCAGTTTTTTTTCCCGATTTGTTCAAAGTAGGATATATTAATTATAAAGTAACAATCATCTTTTCTTTTTCTTTGTTAATCAATAACTGATAATCATCTTGAGGTAATCATATTGCATGTACTTAATTAATTTCTTCCACTATTGACCAACTACTAATCTTCTTCATTAGAGGCTCGAGTGTAGGTATGTCGGTGATGGAGATTATCTTGAATATATTATGTAATTTATTTAATAAGTTAGAAAATAATGTTTATTTTAAGGATAGTAATAAGTAGTATGTAAACAAGTATTTAACATTCGAGCATTTAGTTCATTGGTTGGTGCATGATCTCTTGTCTTAAGAAGAGGGTTTAAATCCCCTCTCCTTCAATTATAAAAAAAAAAATAGTATTTCGAATCCCCTCTCCCTCAATTATGATTCTTTATAAATGAGTTTGGATATGATGCAAGTAATAATTTCAGTATAAATCAATTAAAGATAATAAATTTTTTAATGTTTATATTTTTTTTAGAGCATGTATTTTTTATAATTGATAAAATTATTTATTCTCAAATATAAAACTTATTTTCAATTTATATAATTTAAATTTTACTAATAAAATATATAAAAAAGATTAAATTTTATTTTTTGTTATTGAATTTGGGTCAAATCGAGTTTTGTAACGAATATTTACATCTTTTTTAACTAAATAAATAGATTTAGGTTTAATTAGGTTATTATTAACTAAATTTAAGTAGAACATGTATATTAGATTTTATAATCAGATTCAAGTACGAATATCTCAAAATTAATTAATGTCTTACTGTTTACTTTCTTAACTTATTTTACATTATGAAGTTTCTAATTTTATACCTAAAAATTCAATCATCCACTTTTTGTTTAAATTTTTAATTATTTTTTAAAAAATTATTTTTAAAATTTATGTCAATAAAAAGCTCATAATTTGTTGGCAAGTTACAATTACGTAAATAATTCATATAATTTTCATCTATTCTTTTTTTTTAGTTGATTAAACCCTTATTGACAATTATACATGAAATGAAATGATGGTAGTTGAAAACATTAACATTATTAAAGCATCAAAAGGCCTGATTAGCTGTAAGATTGCGTAACTCGAATACTAGAAATTAATATTCCATGGAGCAGTAAACCTTGCATGTAAAATAAGACATAAAGGGTCAAAAAAACAATAAAGAATGGCCATGAAGATTTGGTTTGCTTTATCTTTTTCGCATCTCCAGGACAAGGTCCTCCTTGGTGAATCTTAAAGTCTCAACAAATTATTAGTAAGATTTACGAGGCAGTCAAAGGAGGGCAGCCAGCAGCAGCTGTTCTCCTCTGCTTTTTCGGCTTGGAATCGACCCCCAATTCCCCTTTGCTTTTTCTTTACCAAGGTTTTTATCCGTTTTTGAGGTATGGTTTCGCTTCGCACTTTGATTTTCAAATCCTTGTTTGCGAAAGCCCTTTTTCTTTCACATGTCGCTTTCTTTACCATCTGTCACGCCCTCTTCAGTATCTCCCATGTCTACGGTCTACCCTG